CCTCTAGTAATTCTCAATTAAAAAGTTATATGCCAGACCTGAATTTAATACTTTTTTGTAAGTGACCTAGAACTTGCTAAAATGAGTTTGGGTTAAGGTTGGCTTTACTCTCAGGTCTAAAGCAATCTTTGTACAAAGTATGATCTACCAGTAATTATCCATTACATAGTTTTTTCTGCCAGTGATTACGTACTTGCCGGAATAATCTTGGGTCAAGGTTGACATACACTATTGGATCATCAGCAAATATTATTCCATGTATGAGCTTCCTAAGATTTGGCGTTACAAAATCACATATCGTCCAGACAAAAATTTTAGAATTTTTCAGCCAGTGACCTATTTACCTAAATGCCCTTGGGTAAAGGTCTTAACACACGTGGGTCAGCAAAGCTATCATTGTACCAAGAATGAGCATCCAATGATTCCCCGTTACAAAGTTTTGGACCGGACAAGAATTTTTTTTGCCAGTGACCTTGAACATGCAGGCATGACTTTTTGTCAAGGGCATGGCAACCCCTTGGGTCATAAGCAATCTCTGTACAAAGTATGAGCTTCCAGTGTTTTTCAATAACAAAGTTATAGCAAGGAGAAGATTGCATGGACAGAAGGACACACAGTGAAGGGATTTCTGTATGACACACACCTCAAATCCCCTTCCCCCAACCCCCCTCCCACAAACTTTGTTAATGTGGGATATTTAGATATTTGTTACAATTTCAATAGCATAGAAAGATTCAACAAAAAAGAAGAGTAGCCAGTCGGACTGCGCAAATTCAGTTTTACTGCTAAAATGTAATATAAATATTTTTAAAAACTTTCAGCAATACATGTACGTGCTAAATATTCCTTTCCTTGCCTTGTTGCTAAGGAAAATTTTATGTTGCCATGGAGATGGAAAATTTTTCAATAGTCATTAGTTTACACAGAAGTATATTGTATATTATATTCTATTAAAATTTGTTTTTGGTACTCAATGATTTCAATTTAAACATTTTTATTGACTTTTGAATTCGACCTACTCATGCCCATACGGACTTTGTCAGGAACTGATTAACCTCAGCCTTTGGCCTCGGCCAACCAATACCTCACCAGTTCTGCATTCTCACAAGTAAACCTCCTCAAAAGTTGATATATTTTTTATAATGAGATTACTGTATTTTTTAAACTTGTCAGAAATTAGACTATCCAGTTTTCGTTGCAAATATTGGTCATGATGCAAAATTTTCAGGAATTTGCAAGAAATTTTAAGACTTTCGAGTGTCAATAAGCCACTAGCATGATTAGTAGGTCATTGATTTGCCATTTGAAAGTGTAAAAAAATACCAGTAAGTCAAGTAAATGTTTTTCATGTCCATAAGTAGAATGTTTTTGCCTAGTTAACATCCTTAAAGACACAGATTTTTGTTGAGGAATTGCTACATACTGATTCTTTATAAAATGTATTTGTTGCTATGTGGACAAGTTTTGTTGCTATGGATGAATTAACTTAAAAATACTTTTAAAAAACCAGTCTGACAATGTCTATTCTGGGCAATAGCAATTCAATTATTAGAATCAGATAATCTTTTAAAAACTTATAAATAAGTGCTAAAAATAACTTTCAATGCTTTGTTGCTAAGGAAAATTTGCTGTTGCCATGGAGATAGCTTATTGTAAAATAGTCTTTAGTATACAAGAAGAAATATTTTATATTTTATTATTTTAAAATTTGTTTTTGGTACTCAATATTAAAATTTATTCGATTTTTCTTCCAATGCTTTACATTTTCCCCTTTTTAAATTTATCAAACCATCCATTTTTGTTGCTTAGCAACAGTTAAGAATTTCAAATTTGCAAAACTTTTTATTTCAAATTCTAAGAGAGGCTTTCCTGTGGTTTTACATGAAATAGATGAAACAATTGTATTAAGATGGTGAAATGAATAATATCGAATTGATTTTTGCTAAAATCAAGCAAAACGCTGAATCAGCAAAAAATGGGAAACATGTATCTTTACCTGTGTCTATAGCAAATATATTAGAGAATGTAATTTCTTTTTATTATGTTGACAGAACACTTTAAACGTGTATCTTATTTATTACACTAAATAAGAAAAAAATTACTATATTTTCATATAAAGCCTTCAAAATGAGTGAAATTTCGTCAATCTACAAAGAAAAATTTGCCGGTTGCTAGGGAAATTTCTTTGTCCAGGTTTCCATAGTAACAATGACCCAAAATATTTTTCCTTCCACATACATGGCTTATAGCCCAAGAAAAAACTGTGAGTGAAAAATCATTAATTTCTGAGAACCCCATGTATCACCTACTGCCTGATTGTTACATGGACCTGTACTTAAGTTCTCTCTTGTTTGGAAGAGATAATTGCCCTCCAGATCACAGCTGTAAATTGCAATCAAAACAAATCAACTCCCCTAAAGAGATATTCATTCCATGATTTAGAAGACAAAGCCAATGGAGATAATTATTTCAATTTAAAATGCTCCGCTAGCTTTAGAAAAGAAAAACTTTCAATTTGATAATTATTCTAACATCTAAACAGATTTTTATGAATGAATTTTTATCTGTACAAGTATTATTTATGAAGTAAACTTATTCAACATAAATAGCAATTTAGGATGTTCAGGTTACCTTCAAAGGAAATATTTAATTTGAGGGGTTACGGTTTCGACTCATTTTACTCTATTAAAATACCCACTTTTAATCAAATATCATAATCCATGCAATTTGTGTACATGTAGGTTTTGTGTGGTGGAAACTGCATCAATCTGATCTTGAATAGTTCTTTAAGAGATTCTTTAATGTTTTGTAAATAAATATTATTAATAAATTAAACCACAATGATACACAATGCCTATAGTGTATTATTCTTGTACTCTTTGTGCAGAGGGTGAGCTTGTATACAAATAAATGATGTTCTGTATATTCATTGACAAGGATTATAAAAATTTTCAAAAAAATTAAAAATGTAATTTGTAATTTAATTAATTACTTTTGCAAAGTAATTGTAATTTAATTAATTACACATCTTAGAAAGCCTGTAATTTAATTGTAATTTAATTGAAGAAAAAGTCAAAGTAATTGTAATTTAATTAATTACTTTTTAAAGTAATTGACCCCATCCCTGAAGCACACTGTGGTCCAACTCAGCTCTCAGAGAACTCTTTTAGTCTATTTCAGATCCTAGTTAGCACTACTTACATGTATTAGTTCTTCCCAGTTCCCAGTGAGCATGTATCTCAATCTGTAATAAAAGGCACAATTTTGCTTTAAAATTGACATAATTTTGGGGGCATTTTTCATAAACTTGAGCCTTAGAAAGCTTGATTTGTTAAATAGGGTGACCCCCAAAATTCTGAGGAAAAAAGTATTGGTCTACCTTCCGCAAATTATGGTAATAATAATCTTTGACTGTATATTTTACATGTTTGCCTCTGTTTGTGTTTAAAGTTTTGGGTATGTAAAGTATGTAGTACTACATGTATTACTGTACAGCAGGTTAAAATCGCTGTCGGAAAAGATAATGATTTGTTCAATTTGCAGCAAATTGCGATTGTTTGAATTTGCGGAAAGAAAAAATTATACAAATTTTTTTTTCAATACTGCAAATATTTTCCTTGCGTATTGTGTTGATTCTGAACCCGAACAAATAGAATGAAACATATCATACTAATTCCGATTAGAAGACAAAATGTACGATTTATAATGTTGCGAATTCAGATAAATTTTCTTCTTTTTTTTTTCTCTTGATTTTTCTTTTCTTTTTTATTAGATATTTATGAAATACATATGAGTCTATATTCAAGTGATTTATTCAAGCGATTTCAAGTCTTATCCAAACCTATTAACATTCATGTAAAAACAAGACCTTTGGTAGGTGTTCGTTCATTGGTATGTTTTGAGTACAGAGAAGTATTTACTGCAGTATATTTAGATCCCCTGAATCTAAATCAGTTGTCACTACCGATAGTCAAAATGATGAACTGTTAATAAAATTGAATTAAGGACATACGCAATGTAGTTTGAACTATATTGTCTTTTCCCCTGGAGTTGAAGAGTTCCAATACTTAAAGGAACTGTGTGCTACATTTTAATGTCTATATATATATACTGTTGTACACTTCTTTTAAAACAAGTTTGGATAAATAAAACATCTAGAATATACGTTTAGTAATTTTGGTATATTTTTCTTTGAATTATACAAAAATTTCCAACAATTTCAAAACCCCTGGTAATGCATGCTGATTTTTTGTATACGAACATCTGTGGCACTATAATCTTAAATTAAGAATATCTTGAAAAATTATCAGTAGGTAAGGTAGGTTGCGTATGTCCTTAATAGCATTGTGTTTACTACTTTGATTAAAGATCATAAAACTGAGTGATACGCACGGGTGAAATCTTACATGTTTTTATACTAGGTAATTACATCACACCTCTACTGGGTGGCAGAAATAAATGTTATTTATAGCCGTTCATTTATCAATTAAGCTTTAAAATCACCAACAACTACGTGTTAGTGATTGATCCATACACCTGTATAATTAGAAAGAAGGTCTTCATTTCTGCTTTATTAATAACTGCTTTAATTTATGTTTGCAAGGAAACACAGAGATAACGAATCTAATCACAGATATCAATAATATTTCAATTTATCCTTATCAATTTTTGAAGAATTATTCACTGTACATTGATTTCGCGGAATTTTTATTTCCGCGAATATAGCGAATATTAACTCCACGAGTTAATTTCCTGCTGTACAGTACTTACATGTGAAAAGACCAACAAAATCAACTTAAAATCCTGTTAGCTTTAAATTTTGAGAGTGATGATAATTTTCATGGAGCATCCATGGAGACTGGGCAGTTAAATATACCTGTTATGTTCAAAGCATTGTAAGGCATTTTCACACCACTTTCTTTACAGGTAGAGCATAAACTCTATGAAATTTTTAAATGTTGCACATGCAGTTTGATTCATATATAAACTTTATTTTGCAGGGGTTGGCAGGGTTTACTATCGTATGGTTGTCAGGGGTTTATTGTTGTGGTGGACCCTAAAACAGTACAAGTAAGAACAACTAATAAACTAAAATGGAGTCATTTTGATTGACCTCTAAAAGACAAGGGGCCATTTTATGTTTCATCGAACATTTAAGTCATTCTGTATGTAAAAGTTTTCAATATGACATAATTAATGCATAGAGAAATTGAATGCTTGATTTATAATACTGTTTTAGAAGCAGAATTAGATACCTTAATTGAAGCATAATTTGTTAAATTTATAGATGAAGTGTAAGGTCATTTCCATTGTTTACCCAGCTATGATGTAAGAAAATGATTATTTTACCTAAAACGGGCATATCAAAGTATTTCAGCTTACCATGCCACTATGTTATTTAAATTTCAGGTTTTACAGGTGCTTGCTAAACACAAGGGAAATGTTGTCAAGGTAATTAACGTAAGGTTTATAAATAAAGATGAATTGTGATTTCTTCAGGAAAGAAATATAGTCCTTATATCTAATGTAATAAGAATGAATTGAGATTTCTTCCTGAAAAAAATATACCGTGTAGTCCTAATATACATGTACATGTATGTCAACTTTATGATCAGCCTGAGATTAAAAAAAAACCATTTCTCTTAATGTATTTAATAAACATACATGTACATGCACATGTAAGTTTGAAACATTTAGTAAGCATACTGCTAAAATTCATGTGTTTTTATTAATATATGTTAAATATGTGTCTGACAGATAGTTCTATAAAACTTAGAGGAAATGTTTTAAATTTCCATGAAGAAAAAATATTACATTTAAAAAATTTTGATATATGCTAGGTTAAATCTAAATGCTGACCTTTTGACCTAAAGATTAACATTGTAGGTGAAATGGGCCAAGGAGAATTACCACCATGATATAGGGAACCCTTACTCCCTTCGTCTGGCCTCAGGGGACACCAATGGGGTAATAATTGTGTGGGATGTTACATCGGGAACAATCAAGTCTGAATTTTCTGAGGGAACCAAGCCTATTCAAGGTGAGATGTGATTGGTCTACCATATATAAGAAAAAATGTGATTGGTCTTTTTACCAAACACATGTATAGGATGATAATTATGTGACTGATCTCCATGTATGAGACAGAACATCATGTTTTGGGGAGATGCCATTGATTTACCCTATATGGAAGAAATTTAATAGATCAAGAGAGATGTGATTGGTCAACTGTGTACAAGACACTTGTAAAATGTGATAGGTCTACCATAATAACAAAAAAAATTCCTGACCTTTGACCTTGTTTTTACAGACATGGAGTGGTTGACCTATCAGGATGCATCACATGACCTCCTGGTCGCACTTCACCCTCCCTACTCCCTCATTCTTTGGAATGCTGACACTGGAACCAAACTGTGGAAAAAGTCCTACACAGAGCCACTGCTGGCTTTCTCTTTTGATCCGTTCAACTCCAAAAATGTGGCTTGTGAGTATTGTTGCATTGTTTTTCATGACTTTAAGAGTATAAGCAACTTTTAAATAATTCTTGAATGTCAAAGTCATGTAAGAGTTATATAGAGTGATTAATCAAGTCTGAAACATTAGAGGTTTATTTTACAATTAATATAAAATTCATACCCACCTGACCCACCCACCAACTAAAGATGAGATAATGGATGCAGTCAAGACCCTTAAGAACTGGAAGTCACCAGGGCATGACAATCTTGATGCAGAGTTATTCAACACAGACCCTGGAATAGCAGCCAACATCCTCCAAACACTGTTCACAGCTGTGTGGGATGGAGAGAAGGTACCTGATGACTGGTGTAAAGGGGTGATTGTCAAGATCCCAAAGAAAGGAACCCTGAGCGATTGCAACAACTGGAGGGGAATCACTCTATTGTCCGTGCCAAGTAAGATCCTGGCCAAGATAATCATCAAAAGAATGTCAGACGCTGTTGATGCTGTATTGAGGAAAGAGCAAGCAGGATTTAGGAAACATCGAGGATGTACTGACCAGATCTTTGCACTCCGCAACATCATAGAGCAGGGCACAGAGTGGCAGAGACAACTGTACATGTATGTAAACTTCGTGGACTTTGAAAAGGCATTTGACAGCATACATCAAGATAGCCTTTGGGGCATCCTACATCATTATGGTATTCCATCCAAACTGGTCCACCAGATCAACAATTTTTATAACAACTTCAGATGCTTAGTAGGACACAATGACACCTTCTTCGATGTTAAAACCGGAGTCAGACAAGGATGTGTAATGTCTGCAGTATTATTCAACTTGGTCATTGATTGGGTCATGCGGAAGACAACAGAAGACTCTCCAAGGGGGATCAGCTGGGGCCTGTTCTCAACATTAGAGGATCTGGACTTTGCGGATGACCTTGTGCTAATGTCTCACACACACCAGCATATCCAAGAAAAAACCAACAGGCTGCAAATCTACGGACAACAGGTAGGGCTATGCATCAGTATGAAGAAGACAGAGACAATGACACTTAATGTGGAATTACCTGCTCCTGTTAAGGTCAATGGTGAAGAACTACGCCAGATGGATAATTTTATTTACCTGGGTATATAGCATCATTAAACCAGAGGGCGGCACAAAGGAGGATATCCACAGCAGACTGGGCAAGGCCAGGAGAGTATTTAGAGAAATAAATAACATCTGGAGGTCTGCACAGTACAGCACCAGCACCAAGCTGAAGCTTTACCAGAGCTGTGTTGTATCAACTCTCCTATATGGATCAGAATGCTGGAGAATAACAGAGACAGATCTTAGCAAATTACGATCCTCCCATACCACATGCCTCTGCCAAATACTCAGGATTTTCTGGCCCGAGAAGATTACAAATGAAGACCTGCTGAGCAGATGCAAACAAGAGGACATTGGTACCACCATTATCAAACACCGATGGAAATGGATTGGACATGTTCTCCGAAAAGACCCCCAGTCAACAACAAGAACAGCACTGCATTGGACCACAGAGGGCAAAAGAAAGAGGGTGAGGCCTAGAACATCATGGCGAAGGACAGTTGAAAGCGAGATGAAAGCTATGCACCAGACCTGAGGATCATTGATGAGGCTGGCCAAGGATAGACAAGAGTGGAGGAAGTTTGTTGCTGCCCTACACACCACAGTGTATAAAGGACAATGATGATGATGATAAAATTCATAAGTATATGTGGCTGTCAACATGTCAAATTGATGTTTATGCACACATTGGAACTTAAAGTTTGGACTTTTTCATTTACAAGTAAATTATTTTGCATGTGTCTGATCATGTATTAACAAGTCAGTCTATGAAAGGAGACTTTCCATTCATGTTCCTTTTTGTGTCTTTTTAATGCAAAGATATTGCATGATATTCATGGAAATTTTATATGAAGTCCATACGTACCACTTTTTCCTTTGATTTGGTACTAGGGGTAAATGCTTTAATGGGTTATATGAAAAAACATTTTTCATTTTTTCAGTTTTGGGTAACTAATAAGTGTATTTTACGTGACATTGCTTATATTTTTTGTTATTTCAGTTTTGGGTCCTGATTGTATTGTGTTCATAGATGACTTTTCTGTCACTAAGACTCCTTCTAGCAATGGCAAAAAGTTTTACATTTCTAGTCCCTCAAGTTCTGGTAAGTATTTCTATTCCCTTAAGTTCCAATAAGTATCTCTAGTCCCTCAAGTTCTGATAAGTATCTTTAGTCCATCAAGTTCTGTTAATTAACTCTAGTCCCTCAAGTTCTGGCAAGTAATAGGGAACATGAAAATACTGATCAAAGTTTAAACAAGCAGTATGAAATGCTGTCACAATTATATGTACTGTATACTGAGTAAGATTTATATGTGCAAGTATAGGTATGTAATATTTATCTCAATATTATGTCAGCAAATAAGTTCGGCTTCTTTGAAATTCATGAAAAAATGAAAGAATTTTACTAACTTAAAGATATAAGCATATGCAGGGTTCATTTCAAAATAATCTGAGAATTATTAAATTTCTTGTATTCCAACAGTAATGAAAAAAAAAATCAACTAAGTTGTATTAAAGAATTGCAAAATGTTGAACACATCATATATATCAGTATTTAACGTAACAAGGGTAGATTCAGGAACCATGGTGTTTGGTTTCAGAGTAAATTGATTTAATTCTGTTTATTCCATTTACACAGCAAGTAACCTGAAAACGGAAGGCTCCACTAGTAGTGTGGAAAAGAGAACGGCCTCCAGAAACCTCGCTGAGAGGATGAGCAAGATACTGGTGGGGGAGGGACCCAGTAAAAAGTGAGTACATGTACTACAAGGATGGTAGTCTATAGTTAAGAATCTGTACAGTCATGTAGTCATAAAAAGTTAATGTAAATGATAAGAATGTAAACATCTTCTGTGTTGGAAAATCTATTCTTTTATCACTGGCAGATGACAAAATCTTGGTTATTAAGAGTTTTCCCAACCAGAAGGGGTGGGAAATGGGGAAGCTATCAGAATATAAACAAATGTAGTAAAGATGGTTAAGTTTGCAAGTATATACAGTAAAACTTGGTTATAAAGAACTTGCTCATGAGCAAATCTCAGCTCTAAGGAAACTTTTATGAATCCCATATAAGACTCTACAATTTTCCTTATACATGTACAGAATCTGATATAAAAAATTTTGGTTATGAAGAAGCAAAAGAGGTCCCTGTGACTTCCTTATAAATGAGATTCTACTGTACTGTATACTATCTGTGATCTCAAAGTTAGGGAACTGTGCATGTTCTGACATGGATGTAATGAATTTATTAAATTAGATAAACTAATGTGATGAATTTAGTAAGATTTTAATGGAGAACACAAAACAGTAGAGTGAAAAGAATGGAGAAAAGCAGTTCAAAAACAAAGCGTCTCCTAAATCACTTTTAAATTGAAGTTACTTAACATTTTCTGTCCCCCATTTTAACTTTGTCTGTATTTTTGTCTGTACCAGGAGCAGTAAGGAGGATTCGGATCATGTGGCTCTGAACGATTGTATACAGTTGTTACACCACCAGTCCTGTAGACACCACCTGATCTTAGTGTACACCAGGGAAATACTGATTCTAGATCTGGAGATTAACCAGACTGTGGGCATTATCCCCATGGAGAGAGCTGGGTCTCCATTTGTTCAGGTTAGTGAAAATTTGAATATGCAGAAAAAAATACAATGTAAATACAAGAACGAAACAAACTAACATTTCTCTGGCTAAGAGGGAATTATTTGTACTTGTGTACTACATTTGTACTAGTATTACTGGTATGTTCAGTATCATGGATTACTTATTGCCTATTAAAAAAAGAATACTACATAAGTATGCTGAAACCAGAATTCTCTTTAAATATTGTTGTTTATAAACAGCTACTGATCAACCATTTTTTTTTTCAGATTGTCTCCCTTAGACAAAGAGACGTGTTGTTGTGCCTTCATGAAAATGGAAGTGTGTCTACCAGAATACGCAGAAAGACGAACGCTATCACAACACCCGCCTCAGAGGGGCACGGTGCATTTGGTGTGTAGATTCTAGAAGTATTCTGTTCCATAAGTTAGGATATTTGTCTGAATTCGAAAATGTATGAATAAAAGATAAGACATACATGTTTAAGATTTGCTGAATGAAAGCTATAGGTCTTGTCAATTGTTATTACCTCAGTATTCATAAAAAAATTGGATCAAATTTACTTCTTCTTGATAATGTGTTGTGTTACCATATTTTATCTAAAAAGCTTAACATCAATTCTCTGTAAGGACCAAAATTTTACTGTAGGGCTGTGGCACACACCATGAGCGATTTTCATGAAACTTTTTCAGGTGATTAATGCCCATACACCTTGACATAATCAACATTCAAAATTAAGGTTACTACCTTGGTTGCCATGGTAACGGGATAATATAGATTTCTGCCCCATTTACTCTCAATTCAAGCATAAAAATGCTACATACTTGATTTCATGTGGTTTAATCATCTTTATTATTTTGAGATAATTCATACATTATATGAATAGAACAAATGAAGCACTATATAACACAATAAAAAAAAATTCTACAAGTCACTGTAAATTCTTCAATTGATGGCTCAAAGATGACCAAATTCTTACATTTTGAAAATGGTCGTTTTTACCCTATATTTCAAGAAGTCTTTCAAGAAATGCAGGCAATTCAAGAAAAAATCACCTGTAATTTTAGAAACACTATAATAATATTAGTTAACTTTTATGAAAAGTAGAGTGGGGATTTTTTTCGTTTTCGATATTTTTAACTTCGAAAATTGGCATTTTGCCAAATAATATTTTTTTCAAAATGTTACTATACACTGGTTGTTTTATAAAATTTCTTTTCCAAACATTTTTCTCACGAATAGATAAGACAAACAGAATGATAAGTAAATATTATTAAAGATAATAAATAAGATAAAACAAAATTAAATGAATTATTATTGTTTTTCTATGATCCTTTACAAAGGGCAGATAACTCAAACCTAAAGAAAATTAGCTATTCAACTTTTCACTGGAACTTATTTCAGTAAACAACATTTTCAAATACTAGATAAATAATGGAAAAAGATAATGGATAAAAACTCTAATGATACTTTTCAACCAAAAAAAAATGAATAAATAAATAAATAAATAATAAATAATTACTTTTTCATGCATAGGTAGGTAGATATTAATTTAGCAGGTTTGAAATTTGATAAGCTAATGTTAATTTCCTCCATTTAAATTTTGCTTGTTCCCAGATGCAAATCTTTAGATATCAATTTTATTTGGATAAAGAAATTTAGAAGTATTTAGACTTACCATAAATTAACACCCCATTAAAAATAAAACCATAAATGTATATTCTTACAATCAGAAAACATACACATTTTCATGTGTATATGTATAATTTTATCGTTACTTTTAAAAACAGTTTTTTTTTCAAATTATTAATCAAGCAAAAATCTACAACTAAACATTATCCAAAATGTGTATTTAGAGATAAACAAAATGTAGAAAATTACTGCTATATAGCAATTTTGTAGGCAATAGAAACAGCTAGGCTTGATGTTTCCATGATTTCTCTTTACATCAGAGGTTGGCCATTATGTGGTGTTGTGTCTGACCAGTCAAGAAGAATTTTAAATGGGTTTGAAAAGTGAAACTTGAAATAATCATCTTCATCTTTTCCCCTGGAATAAAAAACATACATGTACTTTAATTAAAAATCAATTGTTTAATATCTACTACATTTTTCATGTGATAACAAATACAAGTATATAAGCATATCTATTTTTATTAAAATGTATGTAATACTAAGCTAGTAGTTAGTATTTACACCTCCAAATAAATTGCCTCAGAATTCCTGCATGTGTACTTTAAAAAGCAGGCTTCCTATCACAGGTGCTTGGGGACCCTCCCCCCCCCCCTCCCCTGCGTTCCATACCCCAAGGGTTCTCCCCGACTTTTTTTTTAAATAAAATACTTTTCTATGACACATTCACAAAGTTTTTTTTTAGTTGACTTTAGACATAAACAAACATACATACACAAACACAAACACAGACACACCACGGCTGGAAAGCTTACATACAGATTTTTAGGAATAAACATGAAATAAAAAAAAAATATGAATACACAAGATATAGTAAAATAATAATGTAGATGACATAAATTTATCTATATGTTTATGTTTTCAAATATCTGGTTCCAGTTAATCCATCTTCTTTTATAGTTTATACACATGAAGTTCATTGTTTTATTTATTTTTATAAAAATTCATACTCTTGGATACTAAAAGAGAACTTTTAGTATCAGAAAGTATGAATTTTATAAAAGGTTAGTTTCAAATTATATTTTGGATTTTTCAATTGTAATACCTTCTGAATGTGTCATAGAAATATATTTTATTTAAAAAAAACGCAGACAACAATTTGCTAATTAATGAATACTGCAAATAAACCATTAATAAATACAATACATGGCGCAGACGTATGTAGCGCTAATTCATGATTACGCCAACCACTCCATACCCAGTGATTGCGCTAAATTTTGAATATGCCAATTTATGTACACATACAGTATTTTCAGTGTAGCCAATTGCAAGGTAAAAGTAACGGAAACAATTTACCATCACCTACTCCAAAAGCTGTCCCCATACTCTAACAGAATCTTCTCCAAAAGAATATTGTTCAGTTAAGATACTGTCCGATGTTCAGTTCTCACGGTCAATTGCAAGGTTTTTTTCTCCATTAGTTAATTTTGTAACTGTCTCCTGCTTCTGGTATTTGGCCTTTGTGTTGAAATAAAGATGATAAAAACGCAAGAATAAAGGTTCTCTTTATGTACCGGTATCTTTTCATCTTCTTTTTTTCAAAGCACCAGTGCATATAAAATATGTTTAAAATATTTTTTTTCAATTAAAGAAATTCATTCTTATTGTCAATCATGAATACATACATTTACATGGGTATATTATATTTATATCTTATTAGTGTGTATTTATAGCTGCAGTTAAATTATTCTCTATTGAGAAGCTGATGGCTCGTTTTAATTCTCCTCCGCAGGGGGAGTATTAAAACGAGCCATCAACTTCTCAATAGAGAATACAGTTAAATATGTTTTGTTTGTTTACAGTGAATCTGAATTATATGACTTCTTTTTAGGCTAAAAAAAATTTTAATATGTGTTTCCGTTAAGTCGACCATCTCTAATTTTTACCCACCACCTACCGGTACTACTTTTTTGGCCAAATCAGATTTTAAACTGTACCACTGGCGGTTTTAGAGGGGGGCCCAGCCCCCCCCCCCCCCCTTTTGTGTCCAAAATATACATCAGATTTAATAAATCAATTTTTGGTGTGGCCTTGAGCCCCTACCCCGACACCAAACTGCCCCCCCCCCCCCCTTTCAAGATTCCTGGATCCGCCACTGTGTACAACATTACCAAAAATATATGTTTTTTTAAATATTAAATTGCCTTGTGTATATTTTTCATTACATACATACTTACATCTTCTATAACATTCTCCTCCTTTTGATAAACTTTGTAGTTATGATTTGCCAAAGTAAGTTGCTTTCTGAAGCAGGCAAAAATTCCTATAATGCAAATATATTACTAAGATGTATATCTGGAATGTCCTGCTAACATGGTGATCTTTGAATATAGACCAATTAAGTCTATTATACAAAAATAAATATTTGATTTAAAAATTATGTCAATTTAATTGAAAAAGCTTCTTACATGTAGTTTTTATACAAAATGAATATTTGAAAAAAATCAAATTTATACCTGTGCCTAGGGTTGTTCTAACCATTCCCAATGACTGCCGTATCTTCTGCTTGTTGTATTCCTCCAATTGCATCTTACATTTTTCTCATGGGTTTTAGAGAGTACATGGAATCTCACATGATGGGAATACAAGTCAGACTTCATAAAATTTGTTTCAATATTTCGCAAAGTGAATTTGACTTTAAAAATCTATTATTAATAAAGACCTATACTTCATTATCAAGTTGAATGCTGAGAGAGCAGTGTCTCCTTCTTTTGATGACTTACTTTGTCATTCACACCTAAATTCCATTTTAAAAAGTTGAAAAACACATCATTTTTCTGTTATTGTTTCATGGTTATTTTTCTGGCGTCTGTTTTTGCCACATGTTGTTATAAACTTCTTTAGACTTCAATACAGGAGACTCAACAAAGGGAAATAACACCAGTTTAATTTTTTGTCTTCAGTGCAAAAGAGTCAGCAAAGGGAAATAACTCTAGGTTAATTTTTAGGAAAAGTTATAATTTGAGGAGATTGGAATATGACTTTTAACTGATTTCCCCACCTCAAATCTTTTTGCATCTTTTGGATCTAAGCTCGATCTTACTGAAAATATCTTTTTTCTAAGTTTCAATTGCCTGCAAAAATTAATACGCATATCAAGAAATAGGCACCTTTGTATTCATTTTTATGACAAATTCATGTAAATTGATCTGTATCATATTAAAAACCTTGGGTTGAATTGAATAAAATTTAGATGCACAGAAACTTTAATTACTTAGCTATAAAATGAAACCCATGTTATGTTGATAACTTTCCTACATTAAGGAAGCACGGAATTATTTTACATAGTGATGACAATCAGGTCAGTTTTGCCATAACAAAATATTTCAAAGTCGTTGCTATGGAAACCAAGGAGGTACTGTCCAAAATTTACCCACCAATAGTCTTTATATAGGGCACTCTCTAATATTATAGTGATAAAATAAAATTCCATGATAGTGCGTGGCCAAGCATTTTTGGTCCTTACAGAGAATCGATATTAAAAATTACATAAACTTGAATATTATACTCCTTAGAACAATCTTACTCGAAAGTTGTACATCATATATTGGAAGGGTAGACATTGTTTATGTTCTGTTTTATAGATGATTCGCCTCCTCCTGTTTCTATGGATGTGACCTATGACCTCAGATGTCAGTCTGACGGTTTGAGGGTGACGCGACACAGTCGTGTGTCCAGTATGTCTTGTTGCTTGGTAACAGAAAGTTCCGTGGCACTGGTCGTGACGGACAGCCGTGTTGTATTCTGGGATATGATTCTTCTAGATGGAGGGGTATGATTTTGAACAAGCATTCAGTAGTAGATTCAGTACTTCTGAATTGTGCTTCCTATTTTCCATATCAAACGAAAAGCTGTTGTGGAATTGTGTATAACTGTATATAATAATTATTATGTGGTATGATCAAGAATGGTGATTTAATACAGTTAAGCTTGTTTTTGGGAATGTTATCAGAATTACAATTAGCCACAAGAAATTACATATTACATTGAAGTTCTTGTGATTGCCCAAATTATTGTACAAGGAAAAGTGCACCAGAGACAGAAAGGAAAAAAATTGTTGTAATTTATTTTCAGACTGAGTTAGAAACAGCCCCACAGTTGGATGCCAAGTCAAAATTTCCTGTCATTTCTGATACTCCTCCCCCTAAACTCTCACTCTCTGATATGATTGGACGGTTACCTGTTGTGAACCATGATCACCCATCGGTGCTTAAAGGTCGTGCAGTGGCCTTGAAGTTTGTGATGACTGGTCTTCTAAATGGAGTGGTCTCCCCTGTAAGCTCTCTACGCATGTGTCCTCCACTTACCACTAAGAACTGGAGTGTATATCAACCTCTACTGGCCGTAGGTATGTACTAAAAACCAGAGTTTGTGTCAACCTCTACTGTTTAGGTATGCACTAAAGGCCAGAGTTTGTGTCAACCTCTACTGATGTATCAACCTCTGCTGGCCGTAGGTATGTACTAAAAACCAGAGTTTGTATCAACCTCTACTGGCCGTAGGTATGTACTAAAGACCAGAGTTTGTGTCAACCTCTACTGATGTATCAATCTCTACTGGCCGTAAGTATGTACTGAAAGACAGCGTGTATATCAACCTCTACTATCATAAAAATCCCATGAAAATTAATGATTGTCTTATTTGACTAATTTCTTTGGAACCAGTGGTGTCTGGATTAGAAATTTTACTTATACTCCGTTTAATTGAACTCCATATTTTGGCTATTATAGGTAGTTCTACAGGAGTTATCCAGATCATCAACATCTCCAGTGGACTGATTGTGAAGGAATTCAGTGTTCATACAGGCCCTGTCAGGTTTCTTACTTTTATATCATTGAAACTGCAGGTATTCTCATGGAAAATGGTAACTTAATAGACATCCATTGTGGTCCTGGTAATCAGCAATGTTATTTATACTCGTACATTTATTTTTCAGAGGGATAGAGTGGTGTAACCTTAAATCATTCCTGTCATATTCCTACCCATCCCCAGGCACCAGTGGTCTGGTTAAGAATGACCTCATGTTAGTGGACATCTCTACTGGTCAGTAACTAGATACTGATACACCTGTAGGGATTTTGGTAATCGATATCAGGTGAAACAGAATAATGAATTCTAATTTCTAGCTCTCTATCTATTTGTGTGTATTTTTGCTGTGTTATTCCAGGCAAGGTGAAGCCGGTGAGGACTAACAGAGACCAGGAATCTCCCATAGAAATTCTACGTGTGTCCTGTCTCAAGTAAGGGAAGAAAAATCTTAAACTGTATTTTTACTCCTCCAAGGATAATTATACCCCCCAACCAACCAAACAAATCCAATACCACAGTGTACGTGTCAAAATTAAGTTTTAATCTTTGTATTGTAAATGTTGGCGATTATTTACATGTGTTGTTAATTATGTTAATTTAGTAGCAGTAATTATGCATGTTGGGCTTAATTATATTTTAATTTCGTATTGCTTATATATATTATTTGAAATTTTACAGACAATACTTTATAGTTGGATTTAAAGACAAACCTTTAGAACTGTGGGACCTCCAGACAATGACCATGTTACGAGAGACGGGGAAGAGCCTGCCCCACCCCACAGCCCTGGAGTGGTCCCCCTCCCACAGTCTCAAGTCCCTGAAGAAGAAGATGATGAGTCAGGGTGGGGACAAAGAGGGGGGTCAGCTGACCTCCACCCTGGCTGGTGGTGACAAGGTGGGGGTGTCTACAACATCCCTCTCAGAGACGACAGAAAGGTTTGTAATGTATTACCACCAATGATCATCTTTAACTTGCATGTGTGATTATAATGATACATGTATTAAAATCTTAGGACTCGCTAGATTATGGTAGACCAGTTTTGCTCTTTAGTGATGCCAGAATAGAGTGAATGATTTATTTTGGTGTGTTTCTTCTCTACAGCGATTCCAAGGTGAACCAGAAGATGTCAGTTAAGGAGCACTTTGTGTACACAGATTCTGAGGGCACCCTCTATCACTTTGTAGTGGAGGGGACAGGGTTTGCTGATGCCAGCAGAGTGCCAGCAGAGGTGAGGGATTTGTTTGTTTGTTTTGTTTGATGGTCTCAGGGAAACACTTTGGTGTCCACTTCAACAAACTGCACATTGACCCTAAACCCAGTTAACAAATGTATAGTGTTTCCCAAATGCTCTAGCCATGTTTCTTAGGTCATATAAAATAATCATTCATTAACCTGAAAAAGTTATAGTATGTATATCTAACAATTTTAGCTAGCAGTAGAATCTAACAACAACATGCATTCTTAAACACATTATGGTGTGTTATTCTTGCTGAATTTTCAGACCGATTCATCAGCAATATCATCAACTCATGTGGTAGGGTATTTCTCTGAATATAGAAACACATAAAATGCATGAAAAGTAATGGATACTTTTTTTCTTAAGCATGAAGTTTCCACTCTTTTAGCTGATCACATGTCAGATTTTTCAAGTCATATCTCTAATATATTCACTTAAATGCAAGTAGACTCAGAAATGGTTACTGTTCACTAATTATTAGTACATGATTATTATATACTGTAAACCAACTATTATTCGCAATTCTTCAGTTTAGAATCCATCCACGACTACTAATTTTCGTGACCGAGGCAACGTTCTACATAAATACATAGGTGAATAATTGATTCATGACAAGAAATATTCGCAAGTAAAAGAAGGTTGCGAAACTTGCGAATATTTCTTGCTCGCGAATAAAAGTTGGTTTACAGTATTTCCTTCTTCACAGTACAGGAATTGATCATACAGTAAAACTTGGTTTAAACAAACACACTTATAATGAATTGACGCTTAAAACGAAGTCATTTTTATTCCTTTTGTCTCTAAAATATATTGTGATCTTAACATCTATTACGAATTACGTTTATTACGGAGCAAAATCGTCAGTCCCTGACACTTCGTTGTAAGCATGTTTTACTGTATTTAATATTTATATGACTGTGTTTTTACCATGTATATGACTATATAGATGTAGGCCTATATTCAGATGATGAAATAAAACAAAAATGTTCTGTCTACTGACTGTACCTTAAGGGAGGCGACTGCGGTTTTATTGTGTGAAAACTACTATAGAGAAACTCTTTAATTTTATACCATATGTACCTTACATTGACTCCAGTGTATATGCCAAGTCTAGTGAAAATCTACCGTCTGGTTATTTTTTAGGGACCATCTCAAAATACAGGTACATTTACTATAGGATTATATAGGAAAATACCATTTTTTCACACTTCGGAGCAAATTATACAAATGCTACTATAGACTTTTTGCTCAAATTATATTATTTGATTGGTAATACTATATTGTACATTTTATGCAAGAAACACAAAATTCTACTGTCTGGTTTTCAGAAGAGAAATCTCAAAATGTCAAAATTCATGATATTTTCCTGTTTTTATGGAGTACAACAAAACATGACAGATACCACAGATTTACATAAAAAATAATAAAAATGATTGTTGGGTTCTCAATTTCCGATGTTTAAAATTTCAAGAGCATCCATTTCATACTTTTTATTTTATGACATAATTAACGACCCCGCTTAAAGACCTTCGGTTATTCATAACGTCAAGAACACACTATTATGACGTCTATCTACCCATCATTTGAAAAATCGTTTAAAAAATCAGTTATTTAAAAATGTAATTAGATTTTTTAACACGAGATTTCCTAAATTTGTCAATTTTTATGAATTATGTAAAAATAGTTGCTTTAAAAGAGTAAATACGCATTATTTTGCTATGCTGCGCGAAGTACTGCGCGAAGTACATATACATATATGGCTCTGAGCCTCTTCCCCTTTTCCGTTATCCCCACCCTCTTTTTTTTTCTCTCTCTCTCTCTCTTTCCTTTCATTATTCCACCTTATTGTTCAATTCCCCTCTTTTTTCAATTTTGTACATTGTATCTTCCTTAAAAATTAGTCTAAAATACATGTCTTTGCAAAAGTTATGATATATATTATTGTAACATTTCATGATTTGTACCTTGATCTTTAATGGAGAGAACTTATATAGGCCATTTTGCCTGCTGTTCAATCCATATTCATTGTATATACATTTATGTATATCATGAATAAAATACTTCTTAAACGAAGTACTGCGCAATGAAAACCCCAGTCGGCCTCCTTAAAATACAAGAAATGCCTTATTGTTCAGATAAATGGACACTGTATATTGATTGTAGATTTTATTATCAATACAATGAATACTGATTATACATGTATTTATCAATACACTAGTATATATATACTGATGAAATAAATGTTCATTATATATGAACATATTAATAACATTTAATACAAGTGTTGTTCATAAAAAAATACCATTGTCATCGCAACGTCTTTCCTATGACTGGTTTTCTTATCTTTCACAAAGTATTAACTACATGTACATGACTCATTGACTGTCAAATTTAGATACATGTACATGTTCATTTTGTTAAAGAGTTCTCTTTTAACATTGATTGTTATTTCTTTACAGCTAAATGATTGTTATTTCTTTACAGCTTTTTAACATTGATTGTTACATGTATTACTTAACAGCTAGTTTACCATGGTTGTTATGTGTTAACAGCTAGTTTACAATGATTGTTATTACTTAACAGCTAGTTTACCATGATTGTTAGTAGTTAACAGCTAGTTTACCATGATTGTTATGTGTTAACAGCTAGTTTACCATGATTGTTATGTGTTAACAGCTAGTTTATCATGATTGTTATTACTTAACAGCTAGTTTACCATGATTGTTATGTGTTAACAGCTAGTTTACCATGATTGTTATGTGTTAACAGCTAGTTTACCATGATTGTTAGTAGTTAACAGCATGTTAATATTGATTATTATTTGACACATGTTAATCTTGTTTTGTTCTATTTACAGTCTGGAATGGGGACCATTACGTGGATAGCTTGGAAGGGAGACTTTATTTTGTTTGGGGATGGAGAGGGACAGTTATCAGTTTGGGATCTCAAGTCTAAAACACAAAGGTAGGTACAGTGAAGTTACATACACTGTAAAACACTGAGAAAAGTATGACTTACTTATTTACCGAATTGTTCAAGTTGTATTTCAATTCAAACAGTCGCCCGCATGGTGCAGTGGTAAGAGCATTTGCTCTAGAGTCAAGGTGTAAGGAGTTGATCCTTACGTCATGGTTTCAAATCCACTGTGCAATGTGGAGCAAGTGATAGCGTCTCAATATAAGGGAAAAATTCTCGAAAGGGACGTTAAACAACAAACAAATCAGTTCAAACATCATATTTAGTACTTGCTCTATTAAACAAAATTAAAGGAAAATTAAAATCCCTTCAGAATAACCAATAACTGTTTGTTTTTCCTGCATTCTGAATATACACAGTACATGTATTCGTTAATGTTATATTTACCAACAGGACAATGGCAACAAGGCGGGGGTGGATCAAGAAGATCCGGTTTGCCCCAGGGCGGGGGAATATGAAGTTCTTCCTCCTGTATGTGGACGGCTTTGATATCTGGGATCTGAAGGAGGGAAAGGTATAGAGAGTCTTCGTGGTGATGGAGAATTTCTTAATGACTCTAAGTATTGTACAATGATGTTAAATATATACTGTAACAATGTAAATAGGAATTAGAAGTTTGACAACTCACTGTCTTTCTTGAAGTCCACTTTAAAATGAAATATAGTCAAGACAGTGTTAGCAAACAGCCAGGAATAGTTTGTCTGCATCATTAGTTCTGGTCGAGATATGAACTGTGAAATTTATATTTCAGTTTGTGGAATTTGTTCAACTCGATGACAAAATATGAATTCTGTCAATAAAAGCTTTTCACTTTAAAGCTTACCTCAATGAAATTGGGGGAGCTTACACAATACTCCAATTCCGTCAGCATAGGCATCCCAGTATAAAGTCACTGGAGCAGATTTCCTTCTAATTCTACTCTCTATACTGATCAGTGATGCTTGGATGATGCATCTTGTATATTTCAAGTTAGCAGTCAGGTGTCAAATGCTGCATTTTCAGCTAATATATTCCATAAACATGATAAAATGACCAGGTTATTTCTTTTAGAGCAGGTCTCATTTCCAAGTAATTGTAAGCCCTATGTTGACCAAACTTGTATGGATGATACATCTATAGATGCACACTGCCAGACTTAGTTCAGGTGTTGAATTTTTTTTTGAATTTTTAGGTGATCAAACAGAAAATGTATTTTTGAGCAAGTCCATTGACAAGTAACTAAAAATCCTACAAAGACCAAACTTGCATAATGTTGCATCTAGATGCAGACTACCAGAATATTATGCTTTGTCTTAAGTATAGATTCATTGAAGTGAGCTATGTAATCCTTGATTATGTTTGTTTAAAACTGAAAAAAAATCTTCTGTACTTAATATGTGTATGTCTAGATCTTGAATTGTAACACAGTGACTGTAGCCTAATTCCCATATAATAAAGTCATATATCTTTCTTTTCATTACCAGGCAGAGCTACTAAGTTCAATGAAGAGTCCCCGAGATGTTGCTAAGGTGATAGATGCAGACTGGACCGGATCAGACCGGCCAGTACTGGCTACAGCTGACGGATGTGTGGAGGTGTTTGACCTGACACTGAAGTCCTGCTCCTGTGGAATTGAGGATCGGGAATTTCCAGGTGAGGAGAGATTTTAAGGAGTTCCAAGGTAAAAATCTGGCCTTTCTGGCCAGTTCAATCCTTAGAGGGAGGGTCTAGAAATGGATTCAACAAAAGGCCCCTACATTAAAACCATTGTGGCATTAAACTTTAAAGCTAATATTCTCAATTTTCCTGTAATAGATGAGGTGGCCAGCCCCTACATTCTCCCCCCAAAGGCCTCACTAATGATGAAGTACCACCTACAGAATCAGCCATGGAACAGCGAGTACTCCCGAAAGCTGGAGGGACTGAGAGAGGAGGAGAAAAATTTACAGGCAGTGGTCAACAAACAGATAGATCTATTGGACAGGTAATTGTCTCACCTGGTCAACAAACAGATAGATCTACTGGACAGGTAAGTGTCTCACCTGGTCAACAAACATATAGATTTATTGGACAGGCAAGTGTGTCACCTGGTTTACTGGACAGGTAAGTGTCTCACCTGGTCAAGATAGATCTACTGGACAGGTAAGTGTCTCACTGTCATCAGATTAATATCTACTAAAGTGATTCTCACTAGTCAGCAATCAGATTTACTGTCCAGGTAACAGTCCCTGTGATCAGATGAGACTGTTATCTGTAATATGTATTGATTTGTATCAACTTTCATCTTGTTTTTCAGTGATATTTTGGAGTACTTACCACAGTGTAGATTTGGAGTGGCAGAGAGATGTCTTATACTTGCCAAGTAAGTTTTTTTCCCTCAAGCTCAAAACTTAGTTCAGATAAAATTAGATGCATTTTTTTTCTCTGAAAATTCATAATTATGCATTAGATAAGTAATTGTACAGTTAAAATTGCAGATCTTTTGGGGGTGGGGTGCCGAGGGTTGGGGGATACATGTATTTGTGAAGCCATGCATTGAAATCAACTCCCTCCTGCAACAATTATTTGGACATACCATCTGTGATATCCTTCAATTGTCCATTTTTAATATGCAAATCACTTTTAAAATTAAAACCATTTTGATTAGTACCGTAATGAATGCTCACAAATCATACCCGTAGGTTGTTTGGAGATGAATCTGACTTTTTGTTCTGGACTGTAGCACTGTATTATCTGAGAGCTGTTAAGTGGAGTCCAAAATCTCAGGTCAGACAACTCAGGATCAAAATTATGATATAGTATTTTTACTGCATGTACAGGTATTGAAATTGTTATATATGAGAAACTTTATATTAACTATTTTGTCCATGAAATTATACAAAATATGAGATAAATATATATTATTTCCTTTTAAAAGAATAATTTTGAGTGAAGGAAACAGATTTTTTTTTACATTTAAGATGATGTACATGTTCATTATAAATTAATTTGTATGTCATCTTTATGAAGCATAATAAGTTACATGTAAATATAGTGTTTTATAATACATCATACAGGAAGATATAGATTTGCTGGGACCAGAAAAGGAAAAGTTTATTCCTGCCACACCCTCTTACAAGGAGACCAATGACCTTGTGATGTTAGACAGTCCTGACGAGGGGGAGGAGCCATACCAGGGGTCATGGTCTCTTATAGACACACCCCTGGAGAGATACTTTGATATGATCTGTGATAATGACAGCTTTAAGGTAAGTATAAAATATACAGAGATTTCAACAACTCAGTAATTACCACTGTGTATAAATTAACCAATGGCATGTGAATTATTTCGAAACAAGAGTCTCAGAAGTTTTTCAGTTACCTGAAACTTAAATTTCTTTATACTTTAAAAGAAGGAAAATTTTAATCATTTTAAAATTTTAATTTTAAATTTTAATGTATGTACTCATATGGAAATGTTGATAAGACTTTTCTTCTTTAGTTATACCAGTTGGACCGTGTGGCTCTTCACGACAGTAAGAGAGTGACGTACGAACACACAAAGAAGTGTGCAGAGAACTACATCATGCTGCGGGAGACAGATCGAGCCGTGCAGCTACTGCTGGAAACAGAACCAGATAATGATACATACTACACCGACTGTCTCAGGTAACGATACGCACTACACAAACTGTCTCAGTTAATGATACATACTACACTGACGGTCTCAGGTAAATACAGGGAAAATCTAAATAACAGAGACAAGACAGATTATATATTACACTGACTGTCTCTGGTAAATACAGGGAAAATCTAAATAACAGAGACAAGACGGATTATATATTACACTGACTGTCTCTGGTAAATAGAGGGAAAATGTAAATAACAGAGACAAGACAGATTATATATTACACTGACTGTCTCAGGTTAATACAGGGAAAATCTAAATAACAGAGACAAGACAGATTATATACTACACTGACTGTCTCTGGTAAATACAGGGAAAATCTAAATAACAGAGGCAAGACAGATTATATATTACACTGACTGTCTCTGGTAAATACAGGGAAAATCTAAATAACAGAGACAAGACAGATTATATACTACACTGACTGTCTCGGGTAAATACAGGGAAAATCTAAATAACAGAGACAAGACGGATATACTACACTGACTGTCTCTGGTAAATGCAGGGAAAATCTTAATAACAGAGACAAGACAGATTATATATTTCACTGACTGTCTCTGGTAAATACAGGGAACATCTAAATAACAGAGACAAGACAGATTATATACTACACTGACTGTCTCTAGTAAATACAGGGAAAATCTAATTAACAGAGACAAGACGGATTATATATTACACTGACTGTCTCTGGTAAATACAGGGAAAATCTAAATAACAGAGACAAGACAGATTATATATTACACTGACTGTCTCTAGTAAATACAGGGAAAATCTAATTAACAGAGACAAGACAGATTATATATTACACTGACTGTCTCTGGTAAATACAGGGAAAATCTAAATAACAGAGACAAGACAGATTATATATTACACTGACTGTCTCTAGTAAATACAGGGAAAATCTAAATAACAGAGACAAGACGGATTATATATTACACTGACTGTCTCTGGTAAATACAGGGAAAATCTAAATAACAGAGACAAGACGGATTATATATTACACTGACTGTCTCTGGTAAATAGAGGGAAAATGTAAATAACAGAGACAAGACAGATTATATATTACATGGACTGTCTCTGGTAAATACAGGGAAAATGTAAATAACAGAGACAAGACAGATTATATATTACATGGACTGTCTCTGGTAAATACAGGGAAAATGTAAATAACAGAGACAAGACAGATTATATATTACACTGACTGTCTCTAGTAAATACAGGGAAAATGTAAATAACAGAGACAAGACAGATTATATATTACACTGACTGTCTCTAGTAAATACAGGGAAAATGTAAATAACAGAGACAAGACAGATTATATATTACACTGACTGTCTCTGGTTAATAGAGAGAAAATCTAAATAACAGAGACAAGACAGATTATATATTACAATAACTGTCTCTGGTAAATAGAGGGAAAATGTAAATAACAGAGACAAGACAGATTATATACTACAATAACTGTCTCTGGTAAATATAGGGAAAATCTAAATAACAGAGACAAGGCAGATTATATACTACAATAACTGTCTCTGTTAAATACAGGGAAAATGTAAATAACAGAGACAAGACAGATTATATATTACACTGACTGTCTCTAGTAAATACAGGGAAAATGTAAATAACAGAGACAAGACAGATTATATATTACACTGACTGTCTCTGGTAAATACAGGGAAAATGTAAATAACAGAGACAAGACAGATTATATATTACACTGACTGTCTCTGGTAAATACAGGGAAAATGTAAATAACAGAGACAAGACAGATTATATATTACATGGACTGTCTCTGGTAAATACAGGGAAAATGTAAATAACAGAGACAAGACAGATTATATACTACAATAACTGTCTCTGTTAAATACAGGGAAAATCTAAATAACAGAGACAAGACAGATTATATATTACACTGACTGTCTCTGGTAAATAGAGGGAAAATGTAAATAACAGAGACAAGACGGATTATATATTACACTGACTGTCTCTGGTAAATAGAGGGAAAATCTAAATAACAGAGACAAGACAGATTATATACTACAATAACTGTCTCTGGTAAATACAGGGAAAATCTAAGTAACAGAGACAAGACAGATTATATACTACACTGACTGTCTCTGGTGAACACTACATGGGAAGAAGTACCAATTTCAATCCTTCAAATGTCTGTAAAGAACCTGGTAACTTCAAGAAACTTATTTACACTAATTTTCTACTCTAATTTAGATATGTACATTGTATTCATGTGTATTATTACTCACATATCCATAGCAATGTGCATAGTGTGGACTACATAATTTGAGTTGATTGCAGTATTTTTTACACATTATTAATTGTTGAGAAATCTCTTTACAGAGCTTGTTTGGTGGCAAGTATTCGATCTTCAGGCGTCTCACAAAGCACAATCAAACTCGTGGCCACCAATCTCATAGCCAATGGTAAAATCAAAGGTGAGTCTAACAAAGCACAATCAAACTCGTGGCCACCAATCTCATAGCCAATGGTAAAATCAAAGGTGAGTCTAACAAAGCACAATCAAACTCGTGGCCACCAATCTCATAGCCAATGGTAAAATCAAAGATGAGTCTCACAAAGCACAATCAAACTCGTGGCCACCAATCTCATAGCCAATGGTAAAATCAAAGGTGAGTCTCACAAAGCACAATCAAACTCGTGGCCACCAATCTCATAGCCAGTGGTAAAATCAAAGGTGAGTCTCACAAAGCACAATCAAACTCATGGCCACCAATCTCATTGCCAATGGTAAAATCAAAGGTGAGTCTCACAAAGCACAATCAAACTCGTGGCCACCAATCTCATAGCCAATGGTAAAATCAAAGGTGAGTCTAACAAAGCACAATCAAACTCATGGCCACCAATCTCATAGCCAATGGTAAAATCAAAGGTGAGTCTAACAAAGCACAATCAAACTCGTGGCCACCAATCTCATAGCCAATGGTAAAATCAAAGGTGAGTCTCACAAAGCACAATCAAACTCGTGGCCACCAATCTCATAGCCAATGGTAAAATCAAAGGTGAGTCTCAATCTCATAGCCAATGGTAAAATCAAAGGTGAGTCTAACAAAGCACAATCAAACTCGTGGCCACCAATCTCATAGCCAATGGTAAAATCAAAGGTGAGTCTAACAAAGCACAATCAAACTCGTGGCCACCAATCTCATAGCCAATGGTAAAATCAAAGGTGAGTCTAACAAAGCACAATCAAACTCGTGGCCACCAATCTCATTGCCAATGGTAAAATCAAAGGTAAGCAGTTATGTATTGTATCAGAAATTTAATCTAAAGGATTCAGCAGCAGTTAAATAGGCTACATGTATATGGAGGGATGCAATGACATTAAAAGGACATGACAGCATTTTTGTTTTAAATTTTCTTTTTAAAGAGAGTATAGAAATACAATTTACAGTTTCTGATCTTAACCCTTACCTGATTTATGTGTACAGCATTTTATTTTCTCCTATAGAGGGAGTACAGTTACTGTGTCTGATTGACAAAGGCCTAGATGCCTGCCGATATCTGCAGACCTATGGAGCTTGGGACCAAGCTGTCTGGCTGGCAAAGGTCAGTGTTTGTACTTATTTGTGTCCTTGTTTGAAGTACTAGCATCAGTATACTTGTCATGTTTTTCACAGTACAATTAGCTGATGAATTTACCTATACTTTTTCATGATATTCTAGTGATCCTTTAATTCTTAGATTTTAACAAATACCATACAATGTAAAGATAATAATACATATCAATTATGATCTCAAATTTTATGATTAAAACATACATGAGTCTACAATTTGAATTAATGTCACCTTACTTGGGAAAGAATTTTTGAACTTCATGTTTTTCTTTTTATCACTGTAGGCCACATTAACCAGCAGTGACTGTTGTGAGGTGATGAAGAGATGGGTGGATCACTTATGTGGGACACAGGTCAACCAGAAAGTAGGTCATCAATGAACAAATTATAAATTACCTGCATGAATGTAGACAATACTGCCTTGTGCATAAATGAGATTGTAATAAAATAGCATTATAACCTGAAGCTTGAAGACCACTGACTTCATGCAGAGGAAAAAAACTTTCAGTTGTTAACTACACATCTAAATGTTTGACTACTTGCACAAGTTATTTATCATTAACCTGTAAACAACCTGACCTGTCTAAGTGGTGACATATAATTGATACTGTTTCTGTTACTTGCAGAGTAAGGCCCTGTTGGTGATGCTATCCCTGGGACAGTTTTCTAAGGTACTGGAGATGTTGTATGGAATGAGACAATTCAACAGAGCTGCATGTTTTACTGCAGCACTGGAAGAATTCGGACTACTAGACCAAAGCAAGGACGATGGTAAAAATCTGTAAACAACTGTTAAAAAAGCTAAAGTGCCATGTCTCCCTCCTCCATTAATTTGATGATGTTAAGATATGTATAATTATAGAAAATATTCGCTCCCATTTCATTTTCACCCTTCATTCTTGTGGAAAATGGGCAAATTTAAAATGGGATTTTGAGTGAATCAAAATGGGGCAAAATTGTTTGCAAGTGTGCATGATGAGGAAAAATAACATGTGGGGGAAAATAACATTGCATGTATACAGTTTTTTTTTTTTTGCTCGACCTCAAACATATGCTAGTATTTAGTGTAATGTATTTTGTAAAAGCAAAACTTTTATGTGAAATGTGAATTAATGACTGTTACTATTTTTAGTTGTGCTGGTGGAGGCTATTTACCTAGAGTATGCCCGTCTGTTGGCCAACCTGGGACTGAAAGCATCTGCCGAGTTTTACTGTCAGAAAGCTGGTGATAAAGGGAACCAGTTTAGAGAGGAGGTCCGCATCCTCTTTTCATGATGGACAAGAGTTTATTGTGTTGGGTTCAAATTGTGCTTTAAATGTACTGCCTTGTATGGGAAAAAAGTGACTCGCTTGTTAATTTACACTTTAAATCTATAGTGCATATTAAAAAGAATGACCATGAATAATGTGCATCACATATAAATTTCACAGAATTTTTTTTTAAATGAAATTCATCTAAAAATTTTCTTAAGAATTTTTTGTGAAATCTTCCTATGTAATATTTATGTGAGGCATTGCATACACATGTACTCAGAATACATAAACTATCTGTGTGTGTTTCTAGTACTGTATGAAAATAATTTAGACTGTTTGCTTTTTTGTTCTTGTTTTTCCAGTTTATGGTATTTAATTCCAGATAAACATGCACTAGCTCTAATGCATTTATTTTTAAAATTAATTTCATATTTTCCCTTACAAATACATGTACATGTATTACTATGACTTTATGATTGTTAAAAAATATTTCCAAAGGCATAAATTACTAAGCTGTGGAATTATAAATGCATAACAATTAAATAAAATACATATACCATATCAGGCTTTATTTGAATTAATTCATAGAATTATTTTAATATTTGTTATTTATATAGTTTATTTATTGTTTTAATTAATTCCATCAGTCATGGATAAGAATAAATATCACTATTGAACAATTTTGTTTTTGTTTGTTTTAGACTTGTTTAATAAGACACATTGTGCAATATATGTATGGTCCTTTTTTTCTTCAAGTGTCCAATATAACACTATGATTAACTTGAATTCAAATTTATTATATTGAATGAATAGCAATATGTTAATTGACAAATCAACTCAACCCATATTTAGCCCAGAAAGGGGCTCAACTACAGTAAAACTTGTCTAATCTGGCCACCTTTGGTTCCAGAGAAGTTGGCTGGATTAGACAGCATTCCGGATTAGACAACATTTTGAACAATTAAAATAACTAAAAGGGACTTGAACTGCTAAATACCCATGAACAGTGAAAAAGATTTTTAAAGAAATAATGCATTAGCAGAGCCCAACCCTGACGCAAAAACCCCTGATCCAGGGGCTATGAATTTCATAATTTCAGAAGAGACATCCTTGCTCATCATAACTATGCACTTAAATTGTTTGCTTAAAACCAAAGAGAAGAGAAGAAGATATTTAAAGAATTTTTGCAATTTTACTATATAATCAATAAAGCACCCCCCTCCTCCCCCCCCCCCCCCAAAAAAAAATACCTGACTCAGGGGCCACAAATTTCGCAATTTTGGAAGAGACATCCTTGCTCATTGTAACTGTGACTTAGTTTATTTGCTGAATACCCAGTAAAAGAGAAGAGGATTTTAAAGAAATAATGCATTTTTATACATGCATGTAATCAATGAATGCGGGTGGTTACGTTCCGATGACTTGTTCGACCCGCGTGGTTTCGACACAAATCCATGTTCGACCCGAGTGGTTTCGCCCCAAAGCAATTAATTAACAATTAATTGCTTCGGAACGAAATTAATTAACACTTTCAAAAGTTTTACATTTTATTTTTTCTCTACATTTTTTTTTATATTGACCACGTATATTTGTGTTAATTATCGTGTGTAATTAAATTTGGAGAAACGTACATTGTTCAGACAGTGCATATGTGATCACGGTACATTTGAAGAAGTATTTGATTAATTTTTATGGAAAACTGTTCAAATATAATTCATTACTAAATCAAATTTATCAACATTCATGTTCCGCGATAGTAGAAAAAAATGTTAGGAAACCTGCATGTTGACTACACATACGGAAACAACTACATGTACCTTTTGACACGCACATCACTGAAGCCATACAATACTGTAAATTCCTTATTTTACGCGAGTACTTATTATCGCGAATTGTCCCCTAAACGTCAAATCGCGAGAACAATAAATCGCGAGTGGACTGTTGATCTAGAGGTTTTACGTGCATTTCAATACCATAAAAATAAAAGCGAGTAATTTTATTCCGCGAGTGTTGCTTCTCGCGTAATTACGCGATAATTAATTCCTCGCGTACATTTAGGAATCTATAGTATACAGCTACCGGATATCCATTTGTTTACCGCACAGTGTATACCCCTGTACTCAGGTATTGACATGTAGGATATAGGCCTATATTAGAGTAGGTCGAAACCACTTGGGTCGTAACCACGCGGGTCGAACACGGAATCGGAACGTAACCACCCGACACCTAATCAATAGAGCCTCTCCCCAACAAAAAACCCTGGGGGCACAATCTTCATAATTTTTGGAAGAGACACCCTTGATCATCATAATATGTACATGATCCAATTTTTAAACATATGTAAAAATAGATTTTACATTTACTTTCCCGTCATTTAAACCACAGACATTTATTTCTGTAATATTTTTTCAACCCACAGTATAAAAGTATTTTTATTTCACCATGGGTTAATTAAATAATTTATTACAGAAACAAGTGTCTGTAATTTAATCCCTTTCTTATGCTGTAATAATGAGAAAAGACCCATTGATTTTCCACCAAATATCCATACTTTAACTGTGAACTTTTAAAAACCCCATTAAATTTATCAATAAGTAATTCAGAAGAATGAAGGAATCAAATATTTTATAAATTACTAAATGAAAACACATTTAAAATTTTTGGAAAAATATAACTTTGCATTAAAATGATTAACTTTGTAAGAAATATCTTAGTTAGAATAATCTAACTGTGTCTAGGGACAAGCCCTCACCACAAAAACCGGGTCCGTAGGACAATATCATTCCGTAGGACAATATCATTTTAACGATAGAACGTTCTATCTAGAAATATCTGAGCGAGGGAATAATATTGTCCTCGTCTAGTGTTATTTTTTAAAAAAAATGTATTATTGAGTACTTTGCATTTTGAATGGTTGCGGTGGTTTATAAAGATGGCATTAATTTGAAACTTATGTAAATAGACAATTTAATTTGTTGATTGATTGAAATCTTAAACACACCGATCTATAAAATATTCCGGTATTCTCCGTCGTTTTGGGTTCCAAGTTTTATATTAAAAATGGCGACTTATATTGAAAACATGCGAAAACACTTTCAGCAAAATAAACGGATACGGGAGCACACAGCTCATGATTCCAAAGTCCACTCAGTGGCCTGGAGCTGTGACGGGAGGCGGTTGGCCTCGGGGTCATTTGACAAAACTGTTAGTGTCTTTCAACTGGATAACGACAGAGACCGAATGGTACGATGAATTTCGTGGTTTTGTTGCAGATCTAGCGCGTGGTGTGGTAGTATGCTCGTGCAATTTTGATTGTAACAGAAGTTTACTTTGTGTGTCTTTAAAAAAAAAAAATCCTTATGATGCTGTAATTAATTTTTAAGAACAGCTGCAATTTTGCATTGAAAGGTCTGAATTTCTTTCTTTTCTTTTCTTTTTTTTTGCACGTTTGTGTAATCACTAAATCATCCAATACTAAATCTGACAATTACATGCACATGGCTGGAAAAAAGCGTGTGTATGATAACACTATGAAAGATGATTTATACTGAATAAAAAGCTGTTAGCTTAAATAAAAAATCCAAAGTTTATGGCATGAAATTGCCGTACAGGCACTTGTTTCTGTAATAAATGTTTTAGCCCATAGTATAATAATAATACAAGGTATCTAACTCCAAATTACATGGAGTACCCCCTCCCCAGAATCGCAGTCATGTATACACTTTCAGAGAAAATGCTCTGGCAAACTATTTATTACCATTCTCATCTACGATGATTTATCTGTGTAACCATATATGGCATGCTTGTCTTTTTATCTCCATAAACGGCATCTAAACTTTACTCGCCGACTGGAAAATTTGTCTCACACCATGAATATGTTCTTGGGTTTTGATTGGCTAAAAGTCTGATTCTAAAATTACATTGGAAAAATATCATTACACTTTTATGGAAAATAAAATGTAAACAAATTTGATTTATTCACTGCAATATTTCAACATTTGAATTGAATTTTTGAACCCACTAATTTTTAAATTTGCTCACTGCGTGAGATTTGTACATACCACTTCATGGTGTGAGACAAATTTTCCAGTGGGTGAGCAGAGTTTTGTCACTGTTTACGGAGATGGGTACTCTAATGTAATTCAGAGTTAGATACCTTGTGTTGTTATTATACAGTGGGTTAAATTTTTTTACCATGTTTACAGAAACATGTGCCTGTGAATTACAGCTATAGTTTTACTTTCACTGTAAGGAAAATGACAATATAGGCTAATGAAATTATTTAAAAAAAGAAAAATTCATAAGAAAGACTGTTAGACATACATGAAACAAGAACCTCTAGTCTTTATGAAGTTTATTTCTACTTGAAAACAAAGGTGAAGGACTGCACACTCCGTGGACACAGCGACAGTGTAGATCAGCTCTGCTGGCATCCAAAAAATCCCGATCAACTGGTGACCGCCAGTGGAGACAAGACAATCAGGATCTGGGACGCCAGGACCAACCGCTCTGTGGCCACAGTCAACACAAAGGGTATGCAATTTATAGCAAATTCAACAATCTAGCCCTATGGTGAGGGATTCAGAAAAAATTGTTTTATAGATAGTGGGAAACACTTTGAATGATGATGTGAACATGTCATTGTAACTTCACAGTCTAGACTGAACACATCCAAACTTTTTACATTGGATTTATTGGCTGATCTGATGTCCAAATGCTTAAACTGTGTTGTCTCAGGTGCAAATCAAGACCATTTAACCATTTACCAATTTAAATTTAAATAATAGAAGGAAATGGTGTTAATTTTATACATACATCAACATAATGGTCTATAAAGAATTTGATCACTAGTATTTATCCTCTTCCTACTTGTATAGGTGAAAATATCAATATATGCTGGTCACCAGATGGCAGCACTATAGCAGTGGGGAACAAGGATGACCTTATCACCTTTATAGATGTCAGAAGTCATAGGTCAAAGGCCGAAGAACAGTTCAAGTTTGAGGTCAATGAAATTTCTTGGAACAATGATGGGGATCTTTTTTTCCTGACAAGTGGCCAGGGAAGCATAAACATATTAAGGTAGGTTCACTGTAACAAAAAAACACAGACACACACACAATGAAATAATGGTATCATTAAGATATTGTGGTAAATAAAGAGTGTCCAGGCAAAATGAACATACTTTGATGGAAAGAAGTTAATGCTTATTTAAAAGAAACTACATGTACATTATCATCATACAGAGTTGTGGAAAACTGTCGGTCATGGCGGCAAAACCGACAAAAAGTGCGTGTGACCGGTAAAAATGCTATCGATGTCGGTCCAAATGACCGGCCCCTTTTTTGGTTAAAGTTTTTTTTTTTTTTTTTTTTCCATTTCTCATCGGCGCACTTCCCAGAAACTGGTACCTTATATCCGATTGCGTAATACTTTTTCTATAAAGGCTATAAATGAAAGCGAAACCAGCATGTTCTCGTGACCTATTAAATTTACAACTGGGGCAGAATTTGGTAGAAAACATAAAGAAACAGATAAAGACAAGCTAAATATGAAAACAGTTGGGAAAGCGGTAAATCTAGTACTTCCGACTGTCCCGGATTTCGTTTTTTTCATCGATCGTTTTGAGATCTTTTATCGATGCAGAGAATTTCTAGACTCATTTTCTAGGTTAATATAATTCCCAAATTCATAAATGTTTTAAAAAAAATTACGTTTACTATGCTGAATTGGCATTGTTACCTGCCCAAAAGCGGTGAAATCTAGTATTGTTATAAATGCAAAAAAAACGAAAACGGAAGAGGACTTGGAAATGGAGACTGAATGTTATATTATTAAGTAAATAGATGTAATGAAGTAAATAAATGTTATGCTTTTTAAAAAATTTTTGTGACTTTCTATTTCGGACTTGCAAAAATCGCTTTGGACCGGCTTATTTTATCTTCTTGCCAGTCCAAATGACTGACTATCTGAAAAAGTTTTCCACAACTCTGATCATACTGATTATTACACGCAGATAGCGATGGCAAACATAAAAAGTGTTTAAACTTTCATGTGTAAGAAACATGAATAATGTACCATTAGCTTCAGCAGTATTCTTTATTTTTAATCTTAAGTGTCTTATGCCATGTTTGCTGACATTAAAGATTTTAAATTGTTAGGTATTATCGCTTAAAACTTGATGGAATTTAGAATACATATGATTTTCCTGCCAGTTACCCAGACCTAAAGGTCCAGCACACACTGAATGCCCACCCTGCTAACTGTATCTGTATCGAGTTTGATCCTAAGGGGAAATACTTTGCCACAGGAAGTGCTGATGCCTTAGTTAGTATCTGGGATGTTGCAGAGTTGGCATGTGTCAGGACTCTCTCTAGGTAACTCTAAAATGTTAGAATTCTTTCTAGATTAATCTGATTAAGCGTTAAATTAGGAATCTCTTAAAGGAAGTCTAATAAGTTAGGATTATTCATTCCTAATCATTTTCTATATAGGTTTCTTTAAAAAGCTTACTGAAAGATGTAAAAAAATAAAATTGTCCATTTCCTCTTATTCCAGGTTAGAGTGGCCAGTGAGAACATTAAGTTTCAGTCACGACGGCAGAATGTTAGCCTCAGCCTCTGAAGATCTCATCATAGACATTGCAGAGGTCGACTCAGGTAGATATCACAAAGGTTGACACAGGTAAACATAGATATCACAGAGGCTGAATCAGGTAAACAGAGACATCGCAGAGGTCAACAAAGGTAAACAGAGATAACACAGAGGTTGACTCAGATAAACATAGACATCACAGAGGTCGACTTAGGTAAACATAGATATCACAGAGTTTGACTCAGGTAGATATCACAAAGATTAACTAAGGTAAACATAGATATCACAGAGTTTGACTCAGGTAAACATAGATATCACAGAGACAGACTCAGGTAGGACAAAACAAAACACACAGATTCATTTTTATGATGACTGAGTGTTACAGATTCCAAGTTTCTGAAAATTATCCAGATATACGTATGCAGATGAATTGAGTAAGCATTTTATTTCCCATGGCATATGAAATTGGGGGGGGGGGGGGGGAATGGTGGATGGAGCTGGAATTAACATGTCCATTTGTCTTTTTGGCTGGAGATTATCTTATAAATAACAAAATTTTTCAACCAGTCTTTTAAAATTAATAAATTTGGATACCATTCAAACATTGCAGCTGGTATTTTCAAATTGATATGTCAAATTAGAACAGTTTTGGCAAGAGTTTGCCTGTTTATATTATGCTGTTTTGGTTGTCCTTTAGGGCTTATTTGTACCATTATAAAGACTGCTGTGTGATGGCTAATCTTTTTGTGTAGTAAGGAGTTTAGATCTGGTTAATGATGAATGGTAAAAGGTTAGAGACTCGCACAGACACTAAGCTGTCATGCTAACATCGGTGACAGGTGCCCCCTCATCACAGCTCAGGATCAAGAGTCTTTGTCCCGAGTCATATGAGTGAGGTACATTACAGTTGTCTTAACACAATCTGGTCAGGCTGAGACAGTCCCTGGCCAGGTACAACAGACAGACATCAGTGTTACAACCTGTCACCAGGTTAGCAGAGGCAGCTAGGTGGTGCCGTGCTGAGTTTGTGCTGACAATTTCTTTCTGAGACCAGAATCTGGGGAAAAGTAGAATTCCATACATGCATAATATCTTTAATAGAAAGCTTTCTTTGTTAATAAAGGGATGAATGGTTGAAATTTTTTAAGAAAAAAAAACCATAATCTACTCCAATTTTTTCTGCAATGATTTCAACCATTCATACTCAATAAAAACATGAAAGACATTGTATTATATATATATGTATAAATTATTCATATAAAGTTTGTGAATCTACAAAAGTGAATGAAGATATTTCATAGAAGTCAATGCAGATAAAATCCTCTGCAGCCTTTGTTCTTCATTGAAATAAAATTAATTGATTATGAATGATCTTTCATTTTACAGGAGAGAAAATCACAGAGATTACTTGTGAAGCTCCTACGTTTACTGTTGCCTGGCACCCGAAGCGCCCTCTACTGGCTTATGCCTGTGATGATAGAGACACATATGACAGAAATCGGGATGCAGGCACTGTTAAAGTGTTTGGGTTCCCCAGTGACAACTCTTGAGAGTTTTATAAATAAAACTTGGGAGTGACTTACCTTGGAGATATTCCAAGACAAACATTGGACAGATCAGTGATTAGTGGTTTTTCTCAGTAAGATACTGACAAATGGCATCGGTTTGTTTGTTGATACACTACTGAGGCTATGGTATTGAAGGAATCAAATGCCGAGAATTTTTAGCGACAGGAACACAGTAAATATTGCTGAAAATTTTATCAAAGACATGATTTTGGAAAAAAAAATTAAATGATTATTGAGAAGTACTAGTAATTGGACATGTTACTCAATTGGAAACTTTTTTTTTATGCCAAACCTTTATAGTTTTTTCTATTTCAAGACTTGTAGGTTTTCGTATGTGGAATACAATAAATAAAAGTATTTAATGTATCCCATGTCTTTTATGTATATCTTTGTAGTACTTTATACTTTCAAAGTATTAATTTAAGCATTTTTAATGATTTGTTTACAATTTTTCAAGGACACTGCGAAACGGAGCAATCCCTTGCAACATGATTTCAATCATTGAACACAGTATGTCATTCAATGAATTGATATGGTGTAGTGTTGTATATTTATTCAGAGATTATAAATGAGTCCTTCAATAGACAGACAAAGTCTCTTATGGATGAAAGTGCACCATAAAACAGACAGACAGGGAGTCCTATAAAAGCAATTCCATTATAGACAAACATACTGTAAACATACTTATTTTAATGTTGGTCCCAGGGCCATAGTTATTTCTAAAAATATTTAAGTGTCTTTCATGCTGCTTGTCTATTAATTCATTCAGAATTGTATTAAAGGTGGACTTTACCCTGATTTGATTTAACTATAAATACAATTTTTTTCAAGTCAAAAGTGCACTAATTTAGGATTGAGCTAGTCAGCTGAAGAGATAGAATACCCTTGATTTTGAGTGCGCTAATGTATTTACATTTATGGAAGTGAGTCTTTTTTAGACCCCCCTTTTTTTTCAACCAATACAGAGTCAAGGGCTTTTCAATTTTTTTTCATAAATTATCATTTTAGGACAAAGTTTTAATTCAACCCATATGATAAATAAGAAAAATTACATAATCAATTTTTTTTTAAAAATTCCACATATCCCATTCTGTAAATAAACTTCTCTAGTGCAAGTGCTTGGCAAGGAAGGGTTGCTACCTATTATATACCGAATTAGGTTTGTCATGGCCAGGGCTTGTACCCATGTTCTTCCAATCAGAGGGACTATGATTTGTACTGTAAAAACTTCAATTTGCACTATTCTCCCGTATGCTTGCTTATATATTTAACTAGCCAGGACCTGCTGTTTTTGAGAGATTTTTTTTTATGCTGCATGTAAAAATTTGAATCCCTACTGTGGCCCAACCCTTTACCTCCAAGGGGTACGAACTGATTCAAGAAGATGGGTGAACATGACAAGCGAAAAGCCTATAGTGTGACAAACATGATGGTGAGAAATTAAATCTCAATTTTATCAAAATTTTCCTTAATATTTAATCTATCATTAATATATATTTTCTGTAAAATCTCAACAATTTGCAAAAATCTCACAAAGATTAAATTATTTACTTATGAAATATTATACACACTAAAGAGGGCAAAAAGCCATTTTCTCATATTGTAACAATATTTTTCGCTCCATTTATTTGAAAGTTAATCCTCAAAATTTGTATGAAAATATACATTTTTTGGTTACCAAAAATATGGAGCAAAGACCCATTATACCTTAAAAATATACTTTTATGATATAACATTCGCATCTTTTCGAGAAATACTTGAAGTCCATTAAGTCATAGGTCATATCACAAGCATGATTTAAATGCCACTATTCATCAGGACTTGTGTAGTCTAGTGGTTAGCGTGCTAGTCTCGAAAGAAAATGATACCCAGGATTTTATTGCTAGGGTTCGAACCCCACGAATACCACATTATTTTTAATAAAACAATAAATTTTGCCGAGAAAATTTTCCTCAGAAATGTTTGTTTATCATAATTTCATAAATTGCAATAATGAGAACTTTACTCTAAATATAGAATTCATAAACTGAACATGATTTTTATATATCGGAAACTACAGGCTTTCTGCACGCTATGTTCGCCCATCTCCTTGAATCTACACAATGTCTGTAAGCTTGCACATAAGTTTCTTTCTTTTGACCTGGTGACCTCTTGAAGATTTTTAAATGATGCCACCAAATTTTCCCATTTAAAAAAAATCTCTCCTTGAAAGAGGGATGTGGTGCTTTATATGCACAAACTTGAATTTCTTATTACTAACTATTATCAATTATGGCAATTAAGTTAGCTTGACATTGACTCAGTTGTTCTGGAATAGTAAAAATACAGAATTTTCACATTATAAATTCAGAAATGATCGTTAAATTGTTTTTGAACATTTTGGAAAATTGTAATGGTCTTGTATTACATTTTTTCAATATGTCATGTTAATGTCACAGTCGACACCTGTATGTTTACAATTCACTGCACATCTAGTTGTCTTTTGTTTAATTTAAAGTCCAACTTTACAATCCAGATAGTTATCTAACACTAGCACACTAAAACCTAGGCCATTATCAAGAAGGGTTCACCCGACAAACATGACTGAAAGTAACTCGGAAGAATATCCCTTGGGCTCTCCGCTGGTGCACATTAATATGTGTGAATCCCATGAATTACCCTTTTGATATTATATGTGAGGACTGTGATGAATTCATTTGTGCTGATTGTGCGAAATCAAACCATAGAGATCATAATTGGAAAACTCTAACCACAGCAGCCAGCCAAAGGAGGGAAGGTCTTCGAAAATTTCTGAGGAAGATAAAGGAAGTGGATCTGCCTGGTATTGATGAGAAGATTTCAGAACGGATCACAACAAATAAAGAACTATGTGATTTTGAGATTAATAAGCTACAGAAGCACTATGATGAGATAATAACTAAGCTGACAGAAATCAAAAAAACACTGATAGACAATTTGGTTAAAAGAATGATCAACTGAACAAGGTGAAATCTGAGTTAGAGAAGAAGAAGAGAGGAATTGTTGACACAGTGGAATTCATGGAGGACAACAACAGCACCATGTCAGATTACAGCTTGATTGACAACCACAGAGAACTGACAAAAATCCTGTCCAACTTGGAGGTTCACACGACGAACTGTGAACATTCAGTGAGGTTCACTAGAGGTGAAATCAATGCTGAATTACTTGAATCTTTGGTTGGAAAAACTTTATTTGGATTTAGATGATATTAGTGTGAATCAAATAAAATCATTTAAATATGGAGATAAAACAGTTAAATTGTTGGAGACATTCAATGATAACCAATGTTACCTCCATGAAATTGAATCTAAATATATAGAAAGAGTCAATCAACAAGGCACAAAAGAACATAAATTTAATATTTTTCCAGATGACATGTGTGTGACTGATAATGATGATGTTTATTTCACAGACATCAGACACAAGTCCATCAGCTGTCTGTCACCATCAGGATCTGTCTCAACAGTCATCAATACAGATCCACTGGTACCATTAGGAATCTGTCAGCCAGTGGACAGTGGACTACTGGTCACATGGATAGACAAGGAATCAGATGTTTACAAATTAGAGTCACACAGCAGACGTCTGGTGAGACACATCACAGTGACAGGTGAAGTCATCAATGAGTATGAGGACGGTCAGCCCAGACTGTTTACATTTCCATACAGAGTCACACAAAACAGTAACAGTGATATCTGTGTTTTGAACCGTACAAGTGACACTACAGGTGATCTAGTGATTATGTCTCCCTCTGGTCGTGTGAAGTTTGTCTACTGTGGAAAAGACCTGACAAAGAACTTCCGTTCAACTGATGTAGTGTGTGACTCTCTCTGTAACTTCCTTGTTACTGACCTTAACAACAAGATCCATCTACTGAGTCCTGACGGGGAATGGAGAGAACGCTCCATCCTCACTCTCCCTATACAAGTCTACACTGTGGATAGGATACACTGAGGGACTTGTCAAAGTGTTCCAATACAGAATGTAAAATGTAATATACATGTACATCAAAGAATGAATTCATTCACATAAATGGGATAAATAGAAGGGAATATTAAATTGTTATTATATTAAATACAAATTGTTAAATGTATGAATACAAACTCAGAAAAAAATTACCAAGTATGAAATTGCAAGAGCTGTATGAAAGATAAATTGTCTTCATCAAGAACCATCAAACTCTACCTCGTTACATCTGTTTATACATAAGTTTTATTTTTTTAAAATCAAAATCACACTTATTCACATCATAACCAAAATTATGTACTGTGCTGATTGTTTTAGCATAGGATTTCAGTTTGTTAACGTTGTTTTTGACTCATGGTTTTAAATATAGTGATTACTGTAATCACAAATTACAGCATTATTCCATATATTAAACATAATTGAACAATATGAAATAGGGTCTTGAAATCTAGAAAAACTGACACAGTCAGAGAGGGCCCATTAATGTTGTTACAGGACTACGAAGGCATAGTTACATGTACAGACAGAGTGATATGTCCCTTAAATTCACAACAACGTCTCTTGAAGTATAAGGTCCCTCTGTTTAGAATTTGAAAATGTTATGTTGAAAACTGTTTGAGTAACAATAGGTATCAAGGATATAAATTTAAACATACAAACAGACAAATTTGTACGTGTTTTGCTAATCTAAGAAAAAAGTATATCTGTATAAAATTTAAAACCCGGGGGTCATGATTTAAACTTGAATATACACTATCTGAGGATACTTTCATATAAACATGACTATTCAGGAATTTGCTGTTCTTGTACATGATTTTATTGCTTGGAAAAACAAATGCTATGGAAGCATAAAATGTTTTTATCTTACATAATTCATAAGATTCATTTAATCTCTGATCAAAGTATATGCACAATATCTTCTTATTTTCCCCCCATTTTTGACTGGTTTCCCAGATCATCTAATTTAAGTAAAACTTACCAAAAATACATAATACAGAGTCTGACACACCTTTTTCATATTTGGATATTTTACTAGAAAAAGACTTTGATGGTAACTTAACAACAATGCTTTATGATTAACATGATGACTTCAATTTTCCAATCGTCAACTTCCCAAACTTATGTACCCTTCTCACCTGCATATGGGGTTTTTGTCTCCCAGTTGATTCAATATACGCAAGAGCTTGCTCTACGTATATGAACAATTTCTAAAACAGGCAAGCTACTGACAAACAAGTTGATGAAACAAGGATATCAACAGTCTCGTTTGAAGTCGACGTCATCATTTTGCAAGTTTTATGGTCGATACAATGACCTTGCCAGTAAATACAACTTGTCATGAGTCAAATGCTTGTTTTTCATACTTGTTAGGCCATTATTTACACTTGAATTGTCTACGGATTTTTCCGTTTTTCCCCGATCATGACAAGGAACACACGACAGGTTTGACCGATCGGAAGGGGAAGTTAACTCCTCAATGGCACCTGATCCCACCTCTGATGTTTTTGGAGGTCCGTGTTTGCTCTGCTCACGATTTGTATTGTCTAAATGGACTTTTAGCTTGAATACTGTTCGTTATCTCCATATTTCATGCTTTAATAATGGATTTGTTGTCTGATTGAATTGTCCTACCAATGGAAGACAATACATGTATAATTAAAATCATGGCCCTTGGACCTTACGTGAGGCAACAATAATGGTTGCAAAGTTTTATGCAGGAATATGCATGATAAAAATCTAAGGAAAAGCAGAATTTAGAATTAATTACTTAGCAAATGAAGTTAAGTCAATAGCATCTTTTTGACTTCACGGATTACTTCATTGTTCTCTAGTATAAAGTCTTCTTTACAAAAATACGCATGTGCGTTAAGGCTAGGTATAGGCGTTTCTATGCAAATGAGCTTATAAAAACGCATAAGAGGTATATTTATTATTCAGAGAAAGTTTTGATTTATTTTCTTATGCATACTAAGTACCCCTGATATGTCATAGGAAGTACACATTATGAAGTCATATTAGTATGGAGGTAATAAAACACATCATCAAAACAGCTTCGGCGCAAGGGATTACCCTATTTATTTTTACATAAAAATTGTATGAAGCTAAGAAGAATATTCTATAGATTAATAAAACTGACACAAAAATCCTAGACATTTTCTCATTTGATCGGAATTTGAGGAAACTTATACCGGACTGCATTTTTACCCTGATTCAACTGAAAACTTTACAAATAGAAATTATACAACTAAGCTGTTGATATTTGTGCAGCAATACCAGTAAACGTTGGAATACTTTGCTTCTAAATATACCTTGTTTCAGTTAAATAAAATAGAGCATGCCCTTGCGCCGAAGCATTTTTATTGATGTCTATTATAATCTTGTGTAGTAAAGAACAATGACGTCATAATATGACGTCATAATGCGTACTGGCAATCTCATGTCGTGGATACCAAGTATGTATTAGACAATAAGTTTTAACTTTCTCTGTATAATACATGTAGTCCTCAGGCATTTTAATTAGTTAATTTGCTTAGAAATGCCTATAATTAGCCTTAACTCACCTGCGTAGGTGTCTCTCCCTTTCCAAAATATATCCTTGCTTATAATTCGATGACATTGAGTCAACTGCAAAAACACGAAAGACTTTTGGAAAATCTGCAATTTATTAAACGTCAAGTTATACTGCGGGGTTACAAAACTTTCAAGGACCTGTTTTGACGGTACATAATTATTGTCGTTTTGTACATATTATCGTCGGCGACAATATGTATCTGCCCTCACTACAAATATTGTCGTCCATCGGTATATATTGTCGCCTTTTTTTCCTCCTGCATAATGGATGACAAATTGTACAGTCACGCATAGGCACGTTTTGTCGTCGGCGACAATATGTATACGGTCGTGAACATTAGCACATATTGTCGCCGATTTATTGTGTTAAAGAATATTTACGAAGGTCATGAAGAGTGAAAGAGAGTGACACACACACACACACACACACACACACAGAGAGAGAGAGAGAGAGAGAGAGAGAGAGAGAGAGAGAGAGAGAGCTTAAATGTATAGCAGATAAATAAGTAAATAAGTTTTTATTTATCATTACTCGCAATATTGGAGGGAGAAAAGGTTTTAGTCAGGAAATGGTGTCCAGTTTTGATGAGCACCACTATTATATGCCAAGATACCATAATTCTTGATATATCTGATAATCAACATACTCCATGCCCTCCTTCAAGGGAAGATAATAAAGATTTAGTAAAAATATAGTGGCATCTTTTGAAAATCATCAAAAGAACCATTAAGCCAGAAAAGTTGAAACTTATGTGAAAGCTTCATTATAAAGTATAGATTTAATTTTATTCAGACAATGACCCAAAGGGGGAGTGGGGCTACAATAGATGATCAAAGTTTTACATAAATCTTTCAAAATCATCTCAAGAACTACAGCTAGCTAGGGCCGGAAGAGTTGATACTTATGTGAACACTTCATTACATAGATTACATTCAAGTTTGTTCAAATGGCAATCAAAGTTTTACATAGGAATATATAGTACAGAAAATATTTAAAAACCTTCTTAAGATCAGCAAGACCATGATTAATGATGATTATATGGAAGCATCTCCTCAGGTAGTCTAGATTCAGGTTTCTTCAAATCATGAACCCCCAACCCCGGGGTGAGGTCATAATGGGCGATCAAAGTTTTACATAGGAATGTATAGGAAAATGCTTTAAAATCTTCTTCTCAAGAACAGCAAAGCAATGATTAGTCATATTTATATGGAAGCGTACATGTGACATATACCGATGGACGACAATATGTGGAGTGAGGGTAGGTACACATTGTCGCCGACGACAATATGAACATGACGACAATATATGTACCGTCACAATCGCTCTGCATAAATTAGCATACGAGACACGTCCTTGTGATTTACACACCAATTACATACACAAAACTACAAAATAACAACAAAAAAGTCTTTAAGCAACAATATCTGTGGGGCGACAGTATGTACCGATGGACGACAATTTGTGCAGGGAGAAAACTTTTTGGTCAGAAAATTGTGTTCAGGATTGATGTACATCACTATGATGTGTCAAGATACCATAATTCTTTAGATATCTTATAAATCAGCCTATTCCTTTTTGTTGTAATATATACTTGTAGATTGAATACATGTATTAGCTTTATTTGTTGTTCAGTAGTAATGATTATTTGGAAATTATCTTTTATTCTTATATACAACTATGTGCCGATATAACTGATGTTGGGATTGACTTTTTTTTTCGATCACCTGAACTGGAAGTTAAAGTGAGCTTTTCTGATCACATTTTGTCTGACCGTCCCTCTGTCTGTAAATTTTTCACAATTTCAGCTTCTTTTAAGAACTACTGGGTCAATTTCATCAGTGGATAAAGGGGATTAAAGTTTGTTTCGAATGAAAGGCCATGCCCTCTTTCAAGGGAAGTAAATATGAATTGTGAAAATTTTGTGACATCTTTTAAAAATCTTCTCAAGAACCACTGTGTCAGAAAAGCTTCATTATGAGGTGTAGATTCAGTTTTATTCAGATCATGTCCCTCGGGGGAAGGGTGTGGCTACAATAGGTGATCAAATTTTTCATAGAATATTTAGAAAAAAAAGTCTTTCATAATCTTTTTTTTTAAAAAATTACTGGGTCAGAAAAGACGATACTTAATTTGTGAATGCTTCATTAGATAGCGTACGTTAATTTTGAGGTGCTGGTACGAAAAACATCCCTCACTGCTCAATGATCCTGAGTGACAAGTATAGGTCTAAATTTGCTCAGCCTTCCACCGGCAAGTGTTGACGTCTACATACCAATGAAAAATTCTCGAGATGGACATCATAACAACAAACAAAAAATACATTGTTTGATCAAAGTTTTACACAGGAATGTTTACAGAAAATCTTACAAAATCTTCTCAAAACCCTGACAGATGTAGCACCGGCGCACCCCTCACCACCACCATCTCCCGCCCGGTGTGTGTGTGTGTGTGTGTGTGTGTGTGTGTTTTGCTTTGGTAAATTCTGTTTGTTTAACTTGTATATACTCTCAATTTAGTCCACAGATAAAATTTCATAATTAAATTACTAACCTAACATATACAGTAACACACCTTTAAATGACTTTTTTTGCTTGTCAAAAAAATTCTGAACCGCATCCCCCCTCCATTCTGAATTTTCTAGATCCACCACTGAGGAACTGCAGTAGGCCCGTGATTAGTGATGTTTATATGGAAGTATCCTTAGGTATTGTAGATTCAAGTATCTTCAAATCATGAATCCAGGGCTAGGGTTGGCCACAATGGGCGATCAAAGTTTTACATAGGAATATATGGAAAAAAATCTTTCAAAAATTATATTCTCAAAAACAGCAAAGCAATGATTAGTCATATTTATATGGAGCATTGCCGTGCATTGTCATGCGACATGTTCTGATGAAGGCCAATATGCGCAGTGAGGATAGGTACACATTGTCGACGGCGAAAATATGAACAGAGCGACAAGATGTACCGTCACAATCACGCTGCATGAATAGCATACGAGACACGTCAGTGTGATTCACACACCAATTATATTCACAAAACTACCAAAGAGCAACAAATTTAATCTTTAAGCAATAGTATCTGTGGGGTACAGTGAGGATGAGGCACATAATGTCGCCAGCGACAATATGTACATGTGTAACTTTTCAGCCGGCGACAATATGTACCGATGGACGACAATATTTGCAGTGAAGGTAGGTACATATTGTCGCCGACGACAATATGTACAAAACGACAATATGTACCGTCACAAAGTCTCTATACGAGTGAAAAATTCTCGAATGGGACGTTAAACAACAGACAATCAATCAATCAATCAATCAATCAGAGAGGATTTCTTCGTATAGGTCAATGTCTGACCTATTCTCATTCGAAAGAGGCACAATATCACCTTAAAGTACAAGGACTTGGCAAAAGAACAGTTGCTACCTATTTTATATTAAATTAGGTTTATCATGGCTGGAGCTTGAACCCATGACCTTCCTGTCAAGGAAATAAAAACTTTAACTTGCACAGTATTTGAGGATGCTTACTTATTAATATGTATATCTAACCAGGACCCTGCTGTTCTTGAGATTTTTTTTCTTGTATTTTGCCTGTAAAAATTTAAATCCATACTGTGGTCCAACCCTTTACCTCAAGGGACTACGAACTTACTAAAAGTGAATATGCACGTCTGTAAGCATGCACATAAGTTACCCTTATCACCTGCATACGGGTTTTATATCTTTCAGTTGATTCGATACGCCAGAGCATTCCGTTATTTTCCGTTCTTTCCCGATCATGACAAGGAGCACACGGCAGATGTGACCGGTCGGCAGGGATGCTCACTCCTCTATGGCATCTGATCCCACCTCTGATGTCTTAGAGGCCCGCCTTTGCTCTGCTCCTATTTTGTACTGTTTAGTGAACTTTGAGCTCGAATACTGTTCGTTATCTCCACATATTTCATTAAGCCTAGTGGCCTTTAGTATATTTTTTAATTATGACACCAGTTTCCAATTTAAAAGTAATATCTTTCCTTGAAAGGGGGATGTGATTGTTCTTTTGGACAAACTTGAATTCTCGAAGTGGACGTTAAACAAACAAACAATCTTGAATTTCATATTTTATGTAATACTAATTATGGCAAGTACATGTACATTTGCTTGAAATTTGCCTAGTTGTTCTGGTGAAGAAAAATTTACACTTTTCACATTAAATTTAGAAATGACTTTTAAACGATTTTTTAAACATCTAAAAAATTGTACATGTATCACATTTTCTTAATGTTCTATTAAATATGTCACGTAAATGCACGATAATAGTAGACACCCGTATGTTTACTATTCATTGCGCATCTAGTTGTCGTTTGATAAATTCAAAGTCAGACTTCACAATCCAGGTAGTTATCTTACAGGCAAACATAGCACACTAAAACATAGCTCATTACAAAGTTGGCTTCACCCGACAATCATGGCTGAAAGTAACTCGGAAGAGTATCCATTGGGTGCTCCGCTTGTGGATATCAAAACATGTAAATCCCATGAACTGCCCATCGATATTATATGTGAGGATTGTGATGAATTCATTTGTGGCGATTGTGCGAAAACAGATCATAGAGATCATAACTGGAAAACTCTACCCACGGCAGCCACCGAAAGGAGGAGAGGTCTGCTTAAATTTCTGAGAAAGATAAAGGAAGTGGATCTTCCTGGGATTGATGAAAAGATATCAAAACAGATCACAGAAAATAAAGAACTGTGTGACTCTGAGTTTGAAAAGATACAGAAATATTATGATGAGATAATGACCAGGCTGTCAGAAATCAAAAATCGCCATGAGAAAACACTGTTAGGCAACTTGATTAAAAAGAATGCTGAATTAGAAAAGAGGAAAAAAGAAATTGATGACAGTGTGGAATTTATGGAGGAAAACAACAGCACCATGTCAGATTACAGTTTGATTGACAACCATAGAGAACTGGCAAAAATGCTGTCTGAAGTTGAGGTTCATACAACAAACTGTGAACATTCAGTGAGGTTCATTAGAGGTGAAATCAAAGATGACTTACTTGAGTCTTTGGTTGGAAGAACTTCGGATTTAGATGATATTGGTGTGACTCAAATAAGCTCATTTCCATATGGTAATAAAACAATACTTTCCTTAGAGATATTCAGTGAAGACCAGTGTTACATAAATAAATTTACTTCAAAATATACAGAAAAAGTCAATCAACAAGGCACAAGAGAACATAGATTTAATATTTCTCCTACTGACATGTGTGTGATTGATAACGGTGATGTTTATTTCACTGATGGAAGTAACAATTCCATTGCCATTGGTTGTCTGTCACCATCAGAATCTGTATCTAAAGTCATCAGTACAGATCCTCTGACACCAATAGGAATCTGTCAGTCAGTGGACGGTGGACTACTGGTCACCTTGAGTAACAAGGAATCAGATCATTACAAATTAGAGTCACACAGCAGACGTCTAGTGAGACACATCACAGTGACAGGTGATGTCATCCATGAGTATGAGTACCAGGAGGACGGCCAAACCAGACTGTTTACATTACCAGACAGAGTCACACAGAACAGTAACAGTGATATCTGTGTTGTAAACCGTACAAGTCACACTGCATGTGAACTAGTGATTATGTCTCCCTCTGGTCGTATAAAGTCTATCTACCATGGACAAAATCTGGCAAAAGCATTTCGACCAACTGATATAGTATGTGACTCCCTCTGTAACATCCTAGTAACAGACCTATGTAACAAACAGATCCATCTGCTGAGTCCTGACGTGGAGTTTTTGAAGTTTTTACTGACCAAGAATGAAGTAAACCAACCCTCCTCACTTTCCCTGTACAAGTCTACACTGTGGGTGGGGTACTGGGAAGGACTTGTCAAAGTATTTAAATACCGAGTGTAAATATTGTATACATGACTTATAAATGAATTCATTCACATGGATGGTAAACATAGAGGGGCATATCTCTATCTCTATGTCTTTAAATACAAATTGTAAAATGTACCAGGATTTCCCCTCCCCCCCCCAAAAAAAAATCGTGTACATCGCGTTTGAATCAAAACATAATACACGCTTATAATACACAGCATACACAGTTTATTGATCATATTTAGGTAAATTTTAATTCTTTTTAAAAAAGTACTTTTTAAAATAAATAAATAATAGGCAAAAATTTAATTATACTTATGTGCAATGAGAATGGTCTGAAAATGCACGTCCAAAAATCAAGGTTTTTTGATGGAATACACGAGTATTATTTCTAAATAAAAGGATTAAATATAAAAGTTTGCGTAAAAAAAATCTTGATTTTAATTCGCTAACTATTATTTCGTCATTTGGAAAAAAAAATTACATTGAATTTAGTTAATTTTTGGCAGTTTTCCTAGACTTTGAAATTTGAAAGTGTTAAACACATCGAAAAAAAAGCGACGTTTAATGACGTTACGACGCACAGGAGAAGAGTTTTACTAATATACTAGACAAGTGGAATGGGTATTTTTTAAGTGGAAGCTTTTTGAACGAGTCCCCTGGTAGATCAAAACATACAAACTATTGTCAGTAACGGAAGATGCTATCATTGCAGAACATTAAAAAAAATTACTGCCTATTTAGTTCAGTGAAAGTGAGATTCCCCATGAGTGTGGGAAATTGGTCCTTTGCCTTTTGTGGGAAAAAATAAAAGGGAACTCAAGTTTGTTCGTCAGTAAAATTCTCGAAATTTAACTGGAGCTTATCTAATTTGTTTGAAAGCAAAGATAAGACGTGACATTGCTATAGAAATTTTAATGTTATCGTCCTTGCACCGTACGACCATACTCGGATATTATAAAATCTTATAGTATGTTTATTAGAGCATATAAATCTTTGAAATTTGGTTTGTATATTGATGAAAGCGAAGGAAATACTTAAAAAAGCAATGTTGAATATTTTTCATTCTAGACGACTTGTCCGCGATTTTACCAGAAAACCCTGGTATATACATGTACAAAGTTCATTGGTATGAAACTACAAGTCTTGAATGAAAGATTGTATTTGCTACATCTGTACATGTATAACAAAAGGAGTTTTCCTAATTTTGATTAATCAAAATCACACTTATTCATATCATAACCAGAGTTCTGTGCTGATTGTTTTAGCATAATTTTTCAGTTTGTATACGTTGTTTTCATGCTGTAAAGAGGTATAATGATCACTGTAATCAAATTTATTTAGTATCATTCCAAAATAAACATCACATAACAAGAACAAGATTCTTGGAATCTTAATAGACTAAAAAAACTGACATACAGATCTAGCCCCTCTAAGGGCTGTTAAAGGATTAAGAAGACATACATGCAAAGTGATATGAACCTTAAGTCGTAAAAGCCTCTCTAATAATAAAGTTCTTCAGTGTAGAAATTACTTACCACAGACAGAGAAATCTGTGGGTATCTGGCTATTGTAGCAAAGTACATCTGTAAAAATATTAAAACATTACATTGAAAACTGGTTAGTTATCGTGCCACAAAAAAGTGTTATGGATTAACGTTCAAACATATGCACAAACAGAAAGACAAAGTGATAAAACCCCAAAATTTATTGGTGTCTCGCTCTTAAAGTACTAATTTGAAAATATTTCGTTGAAAACTGATTTATCGCGTCACAACAAAAGTGTTGAAGGAGAGACGGATAGACAAAAAGACATACAGAAGGATGGATCCCCCAAAACCTTGCTTTTAATGAAAAATAAAAAACACTTATACATATACAAAATTTGAAAATATTTCATTGAGAACGGAGTGGCTCTGTGGTTCCTCAGAAATTTTTCCTAAAGTATTCCAAGGTAAAACTGTGTGGCCCCACCCAACCCTCGGAGGTCATGATTTGAAAAAACTTGAATTTACACTATGTAACGAAGATTCTACAAAAAGAAAAATGTGAAGATAATGAACAGTAATCCATCTCAAAAAATCTATAAACAATACAAATATATGATGAGGGCATAAAGCACGGACCCTGGAAATTCCAGAGGTAGGATCATGTGCTTAGGATGAGTAAACAACCCCTGTTGCCCCGTCATAACCGCCTTGAGCCCTATGTTTTGATCAGGTAGACGGAACATTCCGTAGTCAAATTCAGTATAAACACAAAGGCTTAAAAATTGGTATGAAACAATTCAGCCAAAATACGACCAAATGATAGGTTATATTTTCCAACAAGGTCATTATAACGACCATAGAAAATTTACGGAATGCTGACTTTAAATGAGGTTGTTGAAATTCCTGTAACATTATATCATCTTTCAGTAGCCTGCCTCGGTTTAAAAATTGATCATACCCAGAACATGCTCTTGAATATCAAATAAGTTGGGAGATGTAAACACCATATGTAGGTGATAGCGGGATATTACTACATAAATAAGGAAATTTGACAATGGACAAGTTGAAGTCATCTCTTTTGTCATACAATTTTAGTTGTTAGTTGGGCCTTATCGTCAATAATCGGTAAAAATCCAAATATGAAACAGATTTGACAGACGCTGTTGTGGTTATTATATTAAGTTAACTGGGATATATCGAATCTGTATATGAATGAAAGTAACTACTGCTAATTGATAATACATCGTCGATACATCTAAATGTCGAGTTTAAGGCCACAGCAAGTGTTTTCCTCTTCTCATGTAGAAGTTTTGAATATATTCTGCTTCATAGGAATATAAAAACATGTCGGCTAATAAAGGAGCACAATTAGTACCAATCTAAATTCCAAGAGTTTGTTGGAAGACCTGGTCTCTAAAGACTATAAAAATGTTGTCAATGAGGAACTCCGGCATTCCCTTAATATCAACTTTAGAGTACTTGTATGTAGAATCAGAGTGATTTATAACAAAGTAATTTTATTGATAAGCAATCACAAGATAGGAAAATTTCCGACTTCACTTTTATTGAAGAAGTAGTAACCTATGATATCAAAAAGTCTAGTTTTTAATTTATCGTCAGGTATGGTTGTATAAAGTGTAGAAAAGTCTACATGTTGATGTTACTGACTTTTGAAAAAAAAAATGGCAATCTTAAATTTTCTAATAGTTCTTTGGAGTTTTTGAGAATCCACATCTTATTAGCACCACTTCTAGAATATGCTGTAGGACAGTCCGTCTGAAGTTATTCCTTAACAGCAGTAAATATTTTTAAGGAGTAAGGAAATGGGCTTAGTAGAGCATTTGCATGATCCTGCAATGTATCTCTGTTTGTAAGGATTTTTATAATGTTTAGGAATCCAATATATGTAGGATAGATCGAACTCACTTTGGTGGACTTGAATGTTAAAAGATTTTTAGAAATACTGAAATGTGATTTTTAAGAATTTCATCGTTAGAAAGTGAACTACAAGTATAAGTTGGATTTCCTAAAGTAGAATTAAGAACAAGTTCTTCTTAAATATAAACATAATAATCTTCAAATATTTTAGACATATATTATAAAATTGCATAAAAATTTTAAAAGGCAATATCCGAACCATCGTTCCTTTCGTTTTACAAAATCAGTGGTGATCGATAAAGTGTTCAGTCCTTCCTTTTCATATTTGGCCCAACGTCTGGCATAATCGTCTTCAGAATTAATAATAGAAATGAAGTTTTGTCGCCAATTGACAGATCAGGGGTCCTTATATTTAGGACCTTTTAATACAATCGCTTCAAGGTCTTCATTTTCAACTACAGCGTTCTGTAAGTATTTGTTTTGAAAAATTGTCAAATTGACATTGATGCTGATATGCATGGTTTCTATTTTATTATTCATTTAACTCTGACACTGACAAAGAGTTAGTGTCTCGTCTCATAATCAATTCCCTCTTACAGTGCGTCTCCATATAATCGTCAATGTCAATTATTTTAAGAGCAAATAGAAAACAATATGATTAATTACATTTGTATCAGTCAATTATCACCTTGAAGTACAAGTGTCCCATTTCTCAGGTCCCGCGTCTAATGTCTGAGGCAATTTAAATGTCCATGTTGGTTGTGTAACGCTTGCGTACATATATCAACTTCGAGGTATCGAGGGTAAAATACAATAGATTATGCATAGCATGGACTGCATTTTGACTTCGAGGGGGAATTGGGGAAAGGAATCTTGTCTCTTAATTGCAATTGAGAGCATTTGACAAATTAAAATAGTTTTTATCCAATGATTTTCTTCCTTGCAGTCTAATCCTTTGTGCTGTCTGTGACGTAATAGTGGCATTACATTTATCTCTGATTACGTTATCCTTTTCTTCGCTGCGCATTTGCGATTGCGTGCAGAAAAGACGTAATTTTGATGATGAATATTTACATTCTGTTTATAGCGTATTATTGTAAAATAGGCTGTATTTATTGTATACCCAACTTGTGTTTATCACTCAATTTTACTGTTGAATTTATGCAATCACGTGACGGTGTGATCTGACGTTCCGGATCACCACGCTGTGGTGTCTGAATCCATATCACCCCTCTCTGAAACTGATGACGTGGTACACAGATAAATGACGTTTTTTGTTCTAGCGTACTTGTTCCTTGACAAAATGTTTTGTTAAATGGATAAAAGTTGTGCAATTGATTCCAAAAGTACTAGTTTTCTTTTATTATAATTTGCTAACTTTAGAAGGGTATATAATAAATTTATCATTATGACAGTAACCTGATACGAAGAGCCGTTCACGTCGAGTTTATCGGATCAAACGAGACGCGGAGCGTCATAATTTGCACAACCATGCGTAAGATGAATTCAAGTGGTGATTTGATCCTGTTTTGTTTTTTGTTTTTGTTTTGTTTTTAATCATTCTTTGGTGTAGACTCTCTTATATGTTTAATACAATATAATAGCTTTCAACTTTATTCTAAACAGTTCGTTGAATAAAACAAAATGCTTAAAAATTAATATTTG